TGCTCAAAACGTCGAAACTCCATTCCCCCATCGTGCTTACTTCTCCACATATTACGCCAAGACATCCATCGAATCTTGGACCGACCATTCTCCACTCCCCACCAAAATCTGGCCACATGCTTATCCAATAGACGACAAAGCGTAAGTTTAAAGCATGACATAATATGCAATGGTAAGGCCAACGCAACAGACTTAATCAAAGTCTCCTTAGCTGCCCAAGAAAGAGTCCTCTGCTTCCAGCCTTGCAACTTTGCAAGCATTTTTTCCTCCAATTACCGAAACGTGGCAAGTTTAGAGCGGGCTATCAAGGTAGGAAACCCCAGATACTTGTCATAAATCCCCACTGCCCCAACACCTAAGATCTGAGCAAGGAATTCTTGATCCGACAAAGAGACATTCTTACTAAACCAAAGTGCAGACTTAGCAAGGTTAACCCGTTGGCCACTAAGCTCCTCATAATCATTAAGCACCGTTATCAAATTCTCACACTCCTACAGAGATCCTCGGAGAAAAAGATAAGAATCATCTGCAAAAAACAAGTGTGAGATACCCGACGCACGAGGAGCAACTTTGAATCCCTCCAGTTTGCCGTCCAGAATGGCTTTCCGCAGGAGCGCCGCAAACCCTTTCATGCAAAGCACAAATAGGAACGGAGAGAGAGGATCCCCCAATCGAAGTCCTCTTGAAGGCGTAAAGTAACCCGAAGGGGTGCCATTCATTAGGATTTAAACGATGTTGAGCGGAGACATTCATGTACCCATGCTCTCCATGTCGAGTTAAAACCCATTTTATCTAGGATCGCAAGAAGAAACGGCCATTCGACTCTAAAGCCATGTACCCCTTCTTTCCTCGCGATTTGATTTTTAGGTAGTGCATTAACTCGTGGCCAAGAAGAACATTTTCCACAATTTGCCTCTCTCGAATGAAAGCATTTTGGCCTTCCGAAATGATCTTAGGCAGGTTGTAAGCCAGTCGCTCTGCCATAATTTTGGTTATGATCTTATAGACAAATTTGCATAGACTGATAGCGCGGAGGTGCTTCATGCTCTCAACATTATCTACTTTCGGAATCAGAGTCACCCAGGTATGATTAAAACTCCGAAGCATCCTACTCGTCGAAAAGAAAGAGCAGACCGCTACAATTATTGAATCTCCAACTATCCCCCAAAAGGACTTTAAAAACTTCCTAGTGAAACCATCCGACCCGGGAGCCTATTTCAAACCCATGGCAAAGATAGTCTCTCGAACTTCACCAGGGAGGACCTCTGCCGTAAGACTGGCATTCATTGCCTCAGTAACCTGGCGAGCTATTGGGAGATCAGCAACTCGTTCAGCCATGTTAGGGATCTGATTTTCCAAAGAGAAAAGTTGTTGGTAGAAATCAACAGCTATGCCAGCCTTCCCTTCCTCAGGTAGTGACCCAATCCCCCTCCTCATACTGGAGATCGGTCACGAAATTATGTTTACTACGACCCCTGGTGACCGTACGAAAGTAGGACGTATTCTTGTCTCCTTTGTGAAGTCACCGGACTATAGATTTTCGTTGCCAGTTGATCTCTTCAGCCTCCCATTGCCTATTCAACTCTGCCTCCAAGACCCTCACCTGATCCCAATCAATGGGTGAATTTGCTTGATCCTGTCAATTAAGGTTTGGAGGGTTCGGATATTCCGAAGAGAATTAGTCATACCCGCCCTACTCCAATCATAGAGCACATGGCATAGTTTCTTAAGCCTTTCCCAGAGCTGATACATAGGAGATCCTTGCAAATCTTCCTGCCAAACATAGTTGACCATAGCCTTGACCTCGGGGTTATCTGCCCAACGAGCATCAAAACGGAATAGCGGACGACTATGGCGGACATAGGGTTTATCTGACAAGAGCAAAGCTCGATGATCATATCCCTGATCCATAAGATGTTTGGCAAGAGTATCCGGAAAGAGATCAATCTACTTCTGGGAGCAAAGTTCCCTATCTAATCTTTCATGAATACATGCTGCACCCATGCGCTTATTCGTCCAGGTAAATTGGTCACCTTGATAACCTGGGTCGTGAAGACCCAAATTATGGACAAAGTTCCGCAGTCCCATGGAGCGGGCCGCATGCCAAGCATTCCCACCGTCTTTCTTATTCTCACTGAGAGTCACATTGAAATCTCCTATAACCACATAGGGCAGTTCAAGCCCATCACGGATTTCACGAAGATGAGCCAATTGGGCAGCTCTAGTAGAATCATCACAACTTATATACACACAATCACCACATACGAAAACTCCCATTCATTAATTTGAACAAAAATACAGAAATTGGAGTGAAAAAACCGAGGCGTCAACCTCGGGGGCCCAAGCTACTACAAGACCTCCTGATGCATCAACCGCATCAGCAAAAAAACAATGCAAATTATCAAAACCTAGTCCCCGCATACGACGCCGGCGTGATCTAGTTTCTGAAAAGAAAACATGGTCCGGTTTATTAGAATGGACTAGACCGACAATAGTTTGGAATGTGAGAGATGACCAAATTCCTCTCACATTCCAGGCAAGAATCTTCATTTATCCGACTAGGGCCAATTCAGGCTGGCTTCCTCCACCTTTTCAATTTCATCCTTATCTTCAATAAACTGTTTCTCAGGGGTAGGCGAGCTCTCAATCCCACCACTTACCTCGGCCAAAGCACACTTCCGAGCACTGGTGTTCTGATCAACAATGTTCGATCCATACTCATCAATCCTCCATGAGTTCACCTCGACAGAACCTCGAGGCGAGGCATCCTGCTGAAGGAGAGCATGGTCCGAACCCGGTCGACCGGTATTAGCACCCTCAACCATGTCAAGCCGCAAGCCGGCCTCCAGAGCAGCCATAGCCTGGCCCACATGCCCACGACATGCACGATGGTTAGTCTGGGAAGTCTTACACTTGACCCGCCTCTTGATTTCAAAAAGGTGAACATCACCCTCCGACAGTGATGAAAGCCAAACAACATCTCTCCGAGAATATATTAGAAAAATTGGTGGTCTACCCATCCAAACTTCTTCCTCATATGAGTAAATAATCAATGAGGATCATAATATGAGCTGTTCTATTGGCCTCTTAGCCCACAAAACCTCACTCCATGTGATCCAAGGATTGGTCCATGTTTCTAATCTCTTCGCAGACTTGGCCTACTTGGAGCGTGGATTGATCCTATTTCCTCAGCTCCCCTTATCGATGAGCATATGACAATCTGATTCAAACCCTTAGCGAAATGAAAATGCTTCGCAATTCTAACACATAACTCATTGCCATTGCTTATGTGATCTCAAGCTCCCACGATACTCTACTCCTCGTTGTCGTCACTCATCACCTTAAATCTTCCCTCCCTATCTCGAATTATCACCCCCAACCTAGCCGCTTTATCTTTACATGCATCAACAGGAACCATTTACTTTCATCGATGTTCATATCTATAGGAAATTCAGAGGGAAGTTGTTCGTGCCGTTTGAGATAAACTATTGTTATCAATTATAATTGTCGCCAATATCACCCAAAAAAAACTTTTGGTTTTTGTTTTTTGAAGGAAAGTGTGTAAAGTGTATTTAAATTAATCCAATTAGAGTTCTGAACCCCAACCAGATCAAAATAAAGCAATAATAAAGAGAAAAACATGGTGTCTAGACACATGTGTACCCCGACAATAATTTGTGAAGTATGTATTTCTGTCTCTCTGTTAGACAATCAATGACACGGTTCGAGCCCCTAATAGGAATGGTAGCTAGCTCGAGGCGAACTTGTCAAAGACTCCACGACATGTATACATATTACTAATGTGGATGTTGTAGCTAGTATGGCTTTCTCTACTAGAAGTTTGCTACATCTTTAACGCAAAACGATCTTCCAAACTCTCAAACAAGAAGCAATCCTGAGATCATACACAATTCCAGCCAATTCCGCATGGGTGATCGAACGGGTAAAGTACCTCTGGTACCACTAAAGTTTGAGAATTGGGGCAGACATACCACTTAAGTTTGAATAGGGCGTCGGGTACCATTAAAGTCACCAAAATGTGCATCCGTCTAGTTTTCCATCCAACCCAAAAATTTAATTACTCTTTGGTTCCAAAACTTTTAAAAATCATCCAAAACTATATTTCAACAAGTTTTTATCTAATATAGAAATTAAAAAACCTTCTAAACATAATATTACTAAAATGACTAATCAAAATTGTCAATAAAATTGATAAGTTAGTAAAAATAATAAACAAATATCAAGAAGAAGAATAAATATATAGAATATAATAATAGATATTTAAAATCAATATAAAAAGATCTATTTAAATCGCTAATCCGATAAGAAGTACCATTAAAAATAGTTAAAATAGAATCTAATCGATCATCAATACATCAAGACCAAAGAAGGATAAATGAAACATAGTCAGAAAGAATTAAACATATTACGGTAATTGAAGAAATTTTTGAACGAAAATAGAACGAAAGTAACCAAGAAAATTATACAACATCCAGATGATGTACGAGAATTAAATATAACATCCTCAGATTATTTATATCAATATAGAATTCATAGGATATATTTGCTTAAGCAAATTATGCAATTATTATAACATAATGGTAATTTAAAGTACTTATAATGATAATTGATTCTACATTTCCTATTCAAAAATTGATTTGGTATCAAAATCTTGCAAAAAAAAAAAAGAATAATTCAATTATTAGAAAACATAATGATAATTGAAAATCTATTTAAATCGCTAATCCGATAAGAAGTACCATTAAAAATAGTTAAAATAGAATCTAATCGATCATCAATACATCAAGACCAAAGAAGGATAAATGAAACATAGTCAGAAAGAATTAAACATATTACGGTAATTGAAGAAATTTTTGAACGAAAATAGAACGAAATTAACCAATAAAATTATACAACATCCAGATGATGTACGAGAATTAAATATAACTTCCTCAGATTATTTATATCGATATAGAATTCATAGGATATATTTGCTTAAGCAAATTATGCAATTATTATAACACGTAATGGTAATTTAAAGTACTTATAATGATAATTGATTCTACATTTCCTATTCAAAAATTGATTTGGTATCAAAATCTTGCACAAAAAAAAAGAATAATTCAACTATTAGAAAACATAATGATAATTGAAAATCTATTTAAATCGCTAATCCGATAAGAAGTACCATTAAAAATAGTTAAAATAGAATCTAATTGATCATCAATACATCAAGACCAAAGAAGGATACATGAAACATAGTCAGAAAGAATTAAACATATTATGGTAATTGAAGAAATTTTTGAACGAAAATAGAACGAAAGTAACCATGAAAATTATACAACATCCAGATGATGTACGAGAATTAAATATAACATACTCAGATTATTTAAATCGATATAGAATTCATAGGATATATTTTCTTAAGCAAATTATGCAATTATTATAACACATAATGGTAATTTAAAGTACTTATAATGATAATTGATTCTACATTTTCTATTCAAAAATTGATTTGGTATCAAAATCTTCAAAAAAAAAATTTAATTATTAGAAAACATAATGATAATTGAAAATACTTCTAATGATAATTGATTTTAAATTTTCTATTCAAAAATTAATTTGGTATAAAGTTTTCAAAAGAGGATACCAATTAAATAATAAAAATTGATGTTTTTCATAAGTCAAAATGATTTTTTACAATAAGAAAAATAGAAGGACCAATTAAGAAATTTAGAAAACAGAATACTCCAAGAATATTCTGTTAACTTTAACGGAATGCACTTAACATTAAACTTAAGTGGTATCGGGTGCACAAATAATAGAATTCAGTGGTATCCGACGCTCTATTCAAAATTAAGTCGTATGTCTGCCCCAATTCTGAAACTTAAGTGATACCCGGGGTATTTTACTCGAGATCGAACGTCTTCCTAATTAGTTCACTGTGAAGACTATAACGAACCATTCATCATCCCCTAACCCATGCTGCCCGCCGCTGTATGTGTTGGAAGAAAACTAGCGAAACTATGTGCTAGAGGGGTCGCGGTCTTAGCTAGAGAGGAGCAATTAATATGAAAATTGGACGTCCATATTGGCGCCAGAGCCTACTAGCCCTAGCCGAGGGGCCTCCATAGTTATTGCTTTGCCTCTTCTCACTATTATTATCAGCAACCCTTTATTATGATCAAATCATAAATGCGCGTCCCACTCTTGTTTTCAACCTAATAAATACCCTCCTCCTCCATTCAGATCAGGCTCATCAGCTCCATTTCTCCACACTCACTCTTCACTGCAAAATCTCAGTCCTTTCTAGCTGCTGTAGCACTACTAGCTACTACATTAGTATTCCTCCTGAGCCTTGAAAAGAAAGCAACTCAACTTGCTGGACACAGAAAAGGAAAGATCGACCGATCGATGATGATGATGATGGTACTGCAGAGGTGGTTGAGAGAGATGAATCAGGTGTGCAGCAAATGCAGAGAAGCTGCAGCTTCTCTGTGGGGTTTTGGAGGATTGACGATGGAGCCTCCACTTGGAGGGATCCTGGTTAGCGTCCCAGCCTTACTAACCAGCATTCTCCTCGCTTCCTTAACCTGCATCATTGCATTAGGTACGTATATACCTCCCTTACTCCATTGTTTTAGAGGAGTGCTAGTTGAATCCATGTACATTTTTAGAGGTCCAGAGTTCGAAATTCCAAAAACTAATTAAGTTAATTAAATCGTTGAGCTGACGGTACGTACCTTTTAGTTTTTGGTAATCATATTTGTTGGTGTCGGGAGATCTAATTGAATCATATTTTATTCCAATTTTATCGAAAAATACAATTCATTTCTCCAATTAAGTACCCGAGAGGTCATATAGTTTAGCTAAATCAATGGTTTTATTAGAAATTTTTGCAGTCTTTAAATACTAGATATATAGTATCCAAATATCCATGCATGGTTAGGAGGATCTTTGAGAAATCCAAATAAATTAGTTGTATGCTTTGAATTTTCTTATTTTATTGTATAATAATTATGTGACAAGATCGATCCAAAATATCTATGGAATTGAAGGAAGTGGGACATGGGGGTGTTGAATCAATGAATGAGTTGGCAACCCTTTTTCCCCAATCCGATTATATATGCTACTGGGTAGCTGGGCCAGGGGGACAGTGCATGCTCAGCAACCCCATTTTTGGTATTTATCATATACACAAAACCTAACCTAACACACGAGAATACACCAATGGCGGAATAGCAGCTGCCTGCCAGAGAAATAAAGGCACCCACCAAAAACCCCAATTGGAATTCTGTTGTCATCAGTAACAAAGAGCTTTCACATTTGGATTGAATTAATTAAATGGTAACCAATATTGTGAGCAGGAGGTGCTGTGGTTGGAACAGTGTTAGGAGCCATGAAGGGCCAGACGACAGAGACAGGCTTCCTCCGTGGCTCCATCATTGGCGCGGTTGCTGGCGCCATTACTTCTGTTCAGCTCCTGGAATCCATTGCCGACGGCGAGCCCCTGTCCAAGGTATGTACTCTAGTAAAGTAAACGACTGTGAAGGTTATATCACAAAAATTTGTGATAGGTTATTTGTACTAAAACTGTGGTTCCATCATTGTCTACCGCTAAAATTACCTACCGACTTGAATTTGTTATCCGATATCTCCAATTCGTTACCCACCGGTATGGTAGGGTTTCTCTGCAACGTTACTAAATCATCAACCAGTAGATGGATGATGTTGGGCAATCAGGGTTGTGAATAACCTTGGCCCATTCTTTCTCAATGTTATTATCAATTATAGCTGGTGACTACTGGGCCACCATGCAAGCATTATCCATTATATAATATATGTTTTTGAGCAGCAAAATCTACAATTAATCATTCAATCAATACCCAATTCAATATTTATTGTCTTTTTCTTGGGTCAATTTTAATCAATGGATAGGAAATGGGGGCTCCTATTTTCATGCTTGATAGCTTTGCCATATGAAAGCATAATAATTATGATTCCATTTTTGGGTATGCCCTAAAACAGGGTGTGGGAGTGTGACATATATGGGGTGTCCAGTAGTCTTTAAGTAGAGCAGCCACTAGCTTGCTATTAGGGGTGGGATATTTGTTCCATTCGGTTTGACCAAACCAGAATTTCTAAAATCGAGAAATTAAAGTAATTAGTTACTTTGAAATCGAATCGTTAAGAGGCTTAACTTAACGGTTGGGATAAAAACTTTAATTACCTCTTAATAAATTGGTTCGGTTTCAAGGTATCGAAAAACCGAATTGGTTGAGTAATTGATAAGTGCTTTTGTATTGGGGCTGTGGTTTTTAGTTATTTTATTAGTTTATCCAATTTTACCCAAAATCGAAACTGAAAAGAGCCAAATGGATCGACACTGATACCAAAAACCGATAAGAGCACCTTGCCAGTTTCGGTTTAAACCGAAATCGAATAGACATCATATCCCTACTTAGTTGCTAGTGACCAGTTGGATTGACCGTGTGGTAGCTAGCCTAGCCTAGTGGTGTGTGATTAGTGGCTAGTGGTGAGGTTGGGTAGGTAATAATAATATCCAATCTCGTGCGTGCGTGCGTGCAGGTGGCGTTACTGCACAGCGTGGTAAGTGGGAAGGTGTTCATGGAGTGGGTCGGCCCAGCTGTGTTGAAAGCTTACCAGTTTCAGATGATGGCCATGGAAACCACCTACAGAGAAATGGCTGCTGACATCTACGACGACACTGCTGCTGCAACTACTGGCCTGCCTCAGCATTGCATCCAAGCTCTTCCTCACTTCACGTTCCAGAAATCGAGCAGACAGCTGTGCTGCTCCATCTGCCTGCAGGACGTGGAAGCAGGGGAGGTGATGAGGGAAATGCCCAGCTGTGGCCACTGCTTCCATTTGGAGTGTCTTGATAAGTGGCTGGTGAGGAACGCGTCCTGTCCAATGTGCAGGACGGCTTACGTCTGCAGCAGCAGTAGTGGTGACAATTTCGATGATCAGTTGTAGAGATGGCAGGGGAATAAGAGAGATGGACAGATGGAGAGTTTTCATGTCAGCTTGTAATCTTCCTTCCATTCACAAACCTGGAAAGCGATGGCAAAAAATGGAAACCAGCTAAGGGTGTTGTTTAGTTACGTTGAAGTCATTTGAAACAGAGTACCAGCTTACAATCACTTGAAAAGGATCAACGAAATCAGCATATCTAACATTAATCTTTTTTTTTTTTTTTTATGGTTGTCAAAACCACTCTTATATATATGTAGGCTGGTACAAACGAGTCGAGCTAGTATTTTATAAAAATACTAGTATGAATTAGTGGTAAAAACTTATAAAATTTATGATGATTTCTCATTTGGTTTATAATATGGATGATGATTATGTAAACAGAAATCATAATAGCATGGATCTTAGAATTAGATGATTTCACGAATCGGTAATATATCAAGGAAACCTACCTCGATCCATGACAAGAGCGGCGGCGGCGGCTTGAGTAGTAATCACCGGAATTGAGTTTCTCCCTCTTGACCCATTTAGATTTTAGGTTTAGAGATTTCTATGACGGCTAAGAAATTCTACGTAATGGGTTGAAGATAGGACCAATCCTAGGGTTTCTTTATATAAACCCACCATCAAGGTATATTAGGAAATTACCTTTTTCATTAACCTAACCAATATATATGACTTACCTTATATATTAAACCATTAAGTGATAATTACACTTGGGCCACAATTATTCCCTAGTGATCCATACGGGAATTGAGCTTACATTCTCCCACTTGGCCCATGTGTCATTATATATCACAAGATCTAATAATAAACATAAGTGTGCACATCATAAGATAAATCCATAATATTTGGTTCACCATAAAGTCATAATCAAGTATGAAAGCTAGATTAGGATCATGGCGGTTATATATCAATTTATCGACATAGTCCCTTCCATGTACCACAAAACCAGTTTCATGCTCAATTTGACACATAACAAGGTATTCATAATGGTCCAACAATAATGTCTTTCCTAAAGACAAAATTTTGTTCTGTCCACATAATTCATAATGTATATATACTGATCATGATAAACAAGACAAGATTCATAACTTTATTCCAGAAACAAAATAAATGAGCTCAAAGTGTCAATCCATGAAACATAAAATAACTTTAGTCATGACGTCCTATAATCCCCATCCTTTCGACATGTTTAGCAAATGTCTTAGGAGACAATCCTTTTGTTAATGGATCAGCAATCATAAGCTATGTGCTAATATGCTCGATCGACACCCTTTGTTTCTGAACTTCTTCCTTAACGACAAAGTATTTCACCTCCATATGCTTAGCACCCTTCGAATACTTGTCATTCTTAGAGAAGAATACCGTTGCGGAATTATCACAGTAAATTTTCAGCGGCTTGGCGATAGTGTCGACAATTCCAAGTCCATAAATAAAATACCGCAGCCATAAACCATGATTCGTAGCTTCATAACAAGCTATGACTTCAGCTTCCATAGTGGATGTGGCAATAACAAACTGCTTCGCACTCTTCCATGAAATTGCCCCTCCGGCTAGAAGGAACAAATAGCCAAAAGTAGACTTCCTGGTGTCTACACATCCAGCATAATCTGAATCTGAATATCCAATCACCTCAAGGTGATCAGATCTCCCAAAGGTGAGCATGTGGTCTTTTGTTCCTTGCAAATACCATAGTACCTTCTTTGCAGCTTTCCAATGATCTACTCCTGGATTACTTTGATACCTGCCCAGCATTCCGACAGCAAAACTGATGTCTGGTATGATACAAGTTTGTGCATAATTCAAACTTCCAACAATAGATTCATAAGGAATGTGTTCCATTTGCTTGCGTTCCAATTCATTCTTTGGACATTGTTTGAGACTAAATTTATCTCCCTTCTGAATTGGAACGACATTTGCAGAGCATTCAGCCATGTTGTATCTCTCTAGGATCCGGTTAATGTATGATTTCTGAGACAATCCCAACAGTCCTTGTGATCTATCACGAAATATTTCTATTCCAATCACATAGGATGCCTCACCCAAATCCTTCATTTCAAAGTTCATAGAGAGAAACTCCTTGGTTTGATGTAATAAACCAAGATCATTAGTAGCAAGCAAGATATCGTCAACATACAAAACTAAAATTATAAACTTGCTCCCACTAATCTTCAGATATATACATCGATCGACGATGTTCTCCTTAAATCCAAAAGATGTAATGGTATTATTGAACTTAATATACCATTGTCGGGAAGTTTGTTTAAGTCCGTATATTGACTTCTTTAATTTACACACCATATGTTCTTTTCCCTCAACCACAAAACCTTCAGGTTGATCCATATAGACTGCTTCATCTGAATTCCCATTCAGAAAGGCGGGTTTCACATCCATCTGATGGAGCTCTAGATTATAATGAGCTACCATTGCCATGACAATCCTTATGGAGTCTTTCTTAGAGACGGGTGAAAATGTCTCTTTATAGTCAACGCCACTTTTCTGAGTGAAACCTTTGGCAACAAGTCTGGCCCTATGTCTTTCGATATTGCCATTAGAGTCGTGTTTGGTCTTCCAGACCCATCTATTACCAACTCTTTTACAACCTTCAGGCAAATCAACAAGGTCCCAAACTTCATTTTTATACATAGATTTCATCTCTTCTTTCGCGGCAGCTAACCATTTATCAGAATGCTCACTTTCCATGGCTTGTGAAAATGATACTGAATCATGATAGAGTCCTAAATTAGATTCTAACTCGTGAAGATAAACCTCATAATCATTCGAAATTGCAGGTATTCGATTTCTTGTAGACCTTCTTAATGCGATTTCTTGTGGTTCATCTATGTTAGGTTCATTCTCAATAGCAATATTAGGTGGTGCTTGACCGCTCATTTGTTGTTCTTGCAAATCGTTATCATGCTCAACATGTGCAGGAGCAACAACTTGAGAAGAGGGAAGAGGCAAAGAGATTTGCACTCTAACTTCTTGAATTTCCACATTGCGTGGCTCTAAGCTCCCACTAACTTCACCATTCTCAATGAACCTAGCATTTCCAGTTTCAACAATTCTCGTACTATGGTTAGGGCAATAAAATCGATACCCCTTAGATTTTTTTGGATAATTCGTGAGTCCAGTTTCTTTTCATGTGGATTATATATTCTCACTTCCGCTGGGCAACCCCAAACATGCAGGTGCCTTAAACTGGGTTTCCTCACCAGCCACTTATCATGATCAGTTGTACTGTTGTAGAGATGGCAGGGGAATAAGAGAGATGGACAGATGGAGAGTTTTCATGTCAGCTTGTAATCTTCCTCCCATTCACAAACCTGGAAAGCGATGGCAAAAAATGGAAACCAGCTAAGGGTGTTGTTTAGTTTTGTTGAAGTCATTTGAAACAGAGTACCAGCTTACAATCACTTGAAAAAGATCAACGAAATTAGCATATCTAACATTAATCTTTTTTTTTTTATTGTTGTTGATGGTTGTCAAAACCACTCTTATATATGTCGGCCGGTACAAATGAGTCGAGCTAGTATTTTATAAAAATTAAAAATACTAGTATGAATTAGTGGTAAAAACTGATAAAATTTATGATGATTTCTCATTTGGTTTATAATATGGATGATGATAATAGGTAGACTAGTGAAAGAAAAAAAAAACTCATTTAGATACCTACTTGTTTGTGACATACTTATTCGTCAACTAACTGAGGTGAGCTAGAACTAGGTCTTGTAAGTGCGTCCCTTGTTGGTATATTGTCGTCCATATACATAAAAAATGGAAAATCCTAATTAAGCATCACAAAGCAGTGAAAAAAATTTACTCAAGAATCTATAATTCAATGAATTCATGACCAAATCTCCAAACGACCCCCATAATTAGAGGCAAATGTGAAATGAATCCGTAAAGTAAATGAATAAAAAGATTTCATACTAAAACCATGGATTAAAATACCATATCGGTGGCTCGACCTAAAAAACTCCCACCTGAAGCAAAATTGATAGGCGCTATTTAGCGATAAAATACGATTGAACAATTGTTATTAAACCACGATTTTAGCATAAAATACCTTACCGTTACTATTATAAAAATTAAACTTGAACACTGTGACACCATCGGGCCATCGTCAAATGAAATCATTCCAGGGATATTGGGTCGAGAGGCTTGCCTGGAACATATCCATGGGCTGTATTAAGACCAATCCAGGACGGCCCAAACTTTCCGAGTGACAGACATAGCAGCACGTGTGAAAAACTGTTTAGCGTGCCAGTGCCAACTACCTTCTCCTTCTCTCCCTCTTCTCTCTCACAGTCACCAACTACAACCAAAACGACAAATCTCGTAATCGGGCCCAAAAAAAAAGCCCAACATTAATGATTAATTAATAAGAAAAATGCAGACTTTGAATCCAAACGTCGGAGTGCTGCTGCTCTAGCTTTCGTCGCTGCAAATTCTTCTTCAGTTACTCCAACGGAAAATCTGCTGGGAGAGAGAAAGAGGAAATAAACGAGAGGGAGGAGCTAGAGCGACGAAAATGTCGAGCTGGACGATCGCTTTCAAGCCATTCCAAATCCCAGCACTCCTCAACCTCCCTCTCCGTCGTCCCCAATTCGCCGTCGGCGGTGTCTTCGTCGGCTCCACTACCACCCTCTGCCGCTCTTCCCGCCTCGCTTCCTCTCCTTTCGCTTCCATGTCCACCTTCACTCTCCCCTGTATGTAACTCTCTCTCTCTCTGTAGGGTTTCGCGTTAATTGATCGTCCAATGGCATAACACGACTGGACTGAACTGAACCCTATCTTTTAATCCCGTGCTCTCTTCCCGCTTTTCGTTTGTTGTTGAAGAGTGACGAAAACGATCTCTCCCCTTTTTAGTTTAATTATTTTCTTGATTGATTTTACTATCCAAGTGTCTGCTGCTTATGGTTCATATCACAGTCGCTTGAGATTGTAACAGCTTTGTTTTCCCATTGTTGCAGCCAAAAAAGAGGCTGTCAAGACTGAAAAGGCGCCGGCCGCTCTTGGCCCTTATTCTCAAGCTATCAAAGTCAACAACCTTGTGTTTGTTTCTGGGGTTTTGGGTCTCATTCCAGAGGTATCATTTCAATGTTATCCTCACTTATTGCTTGAATTCTTCTCTTATTCCTTACTTCCTGGAAATGCTTGTACTGATATTATTGGTCCGTTACATTTCCTCTGCTATTTGGTTCCCGCCTTCTAATTCAGTTTTCGTCTTATATTCAGACTGGGAAATTCGTCTCCGAGAATGTTGAGGATCAGACGGAGCAGGTAATGATGCCTCTCCTTTTGCTGTAGAATTGGTTCTACGTACCACGTTGGATGTTTGTGGTTGCCTTATGTTGTTTGATTCTTTCACTGGCTGACATTACCAGGTCCTCAAGAACATGGGAGAAATTCTGAAAGCTAGTGGCGGAGACTATTCCTCGGTAGTCAAGACAACCATCATGTAAACTTTTCCTCTGTCTTTTGTTTTGGTTTGCCCGTACATGTGTTTGAATCTCCCACAATTCAGATGTGGATGGCATTTCTTCTCTTTCAGTTCTTGCTTTTTACTGTATTTTTGTTCTTTGGGTTCGTGGCAGGTTGGCTGACTAGGCTGACTTCAAGAAAGTGAATGAGATCTATGCAAAATGTAAGTATGGAGTAATGTAGGACGTGCTTGTGCTGTAGCTGATACAAATATATTTCCATGCACTTCATACGATGCCCTTGTGACTCTGTAGCACTATACCTGCTGTAGGAACACCTTACCCCACTATATTGGATAATAGGTCCATTATTTCTGTTATATGTTTCTGTTTCTTTGGCATGGAACTTGGATTGGCATCTCATATGAAGCATGCATCCTTTGACTTATAGAAACCCTTCAACAACTTAAATGGAAACTTAGAAGGGAAAAAATATCATATTGTTGGGAAAATGTTTCTGACCATTTGCTTTTTCTGCTTACAGATTTCCCTGCTCCATTCCCAGCTCGATCAACGTATCAGGTAGCAGCATTGCCGTTGAATGCCAGGATTGAAATCGAGTGCATTGCAGAACTTCCTCAGAAGATCGAAGCTCAACCTGTCTAGGTAAAACAAACCTGAATGTAGTCTTGGAAACCGAGGTTAGTAATAAGCAAGCATGGGAAGGGATCTCGATAGATGAAAAATTGATCATTAGGCATTTTCAGTTGTAACCCTCTTGAATATGTGTGTCCACAACTGTTGTCCAGTTTGTAAGTTGGTGGCAGTACTCTGCTCGCCGATATCCTTCGTGTAGCAATTCAATAGAGAGGGTGACCTCCCTGTAAGAATTATATGGTAATGCACCCAGTGAGAGTTGAATCTGTGCTGAAAATAAGTTATAACGCTTGGTATCTGCAGCGTTCATGTTTTGGCGTTTGAAATGGGATCTGACAATTTAATCCGTTCCTTGTGTAGCTATTTTGCCGAACTTTCTCTTACGATTGAAGAACGCATACTAGTCTGACTGGGTTCCATCTTAACATATGGTTATTAATTATTATGTATTACCCTTTGCTATCTCTTTCTGGAAAGCCACTTGTTCTTATGAAGATAACTCATTGTTGAATCTGAGAACAAGATCCTTGTAGCGATCCTTGCAGACCTTGGAATGTATGGTTTGCATGCCAAGTCATCTCCCAATATTTTGGGCGAGAGTAATTATTGTCATTAGCTGGAACTTGAACAAAGGGTTTCCTGACATTACTTAATAGCAGGATCTGGCTTCCATCAGCTGGTAAACTACTGATCAATAAATATTATTATTGACGAACAGCTGATCAATGAATGCTATTGCCGATTTTATTTATCATCGATTTTTCACGTTTAACATTGTCTAATTTCTTTCACATTTAACTCGACAAAAATTTACTACCATATGAACCAAAATTGTTATAAGTGGTGCATAAGATAATGACAATAATTAACCAACAAAACAATTAAACAACCATAGGAAAGACTTCTTTGAAATGAAATATGATTTTGACCCTTAATTGTTTTTGGAACCAAAGAACATACCGTAAGAAAGAAAATGAAAATGAAACGCGAGAGCGGCATCCGAATTTGGCAACTTTCTAAAAAGATTTTGGATTTCAAACATTTGGCACACCAACTCAAGACTAGGGCTGCAAATGAGCCGACTCGAGTCGAGTTTTATCCCAGCTTGAGCTCGGCTCGTTAATAAACGAGTCGAGCTCGAGCTCAACTCATTTATTAACGAGCCGAGTCGAGTCGAGCTCGAGCTAGCTTGTTATTAAAATCTTAACTTTTACTTGATACGTCATTTTGTATATCATAATACATATGATTTATTTTGTTAGCTAATCTCATATTATACTTTGTTGGTATCATATATCATTTAGTTAATAAATTTTAACTACTCCAAATCATGTTATTTCATAGTATCGAAGCAATTTATGATGCATAATTTCTTTTTAAAGTAGAAAATAAGATATATTTGCTCACAAACTCAACGTGTTAAACTTATATATGGTGAGATAGATAATTTAACAACCATATGAATTAAAATCATAAGATATAGATTGATTAGTCCATAAGTTGGCAATCGAGTTGGCTCTCTAGCCACATGTCAAGACATATCATGTGATCTAAACGAGCCAGCTCACGAGTTTAGCTCAACAAGCCACCGAGTCGAGCTAGCTCGCGAGCTTCACGAGCTGAACAAAGGTGAGCTCGTGTTCGGCTCATTTATTAACGAGCCGAGTTTCGAACGAGTTTTTCTCGAGTCGAACGCCGAACCGCTCAGCTCGGCTCATTTGCAGCCGTACTCAAGACACCCAAGAGCCGAAATAGATATATCTCTTGCAATTCTTCGTTCGTCAAGCAAGAGCAACCAACAAGTCATCCGCCCCCCTGCCTCCCTCTCTGCCTCTGGTGGGTCTCTTTCGATTGCTCCATCAATCTCTGGTTTTCGCTATCTGGGTCCTTTTTCTGGTGAATAGATCTGCATATTTTAGCCATTTGATTCTGCCTGTTGTAAAGGCTTCTGGGTTTGGTCGCCTTTACCTTGAATTTGCTTCTCCTTTTGCTTGTGCTTCTCTGGAACTCTTGCTTAGTTCTTCTTTGGGCTAATACCACTGGAAATACCATCCTTTAGAGAAAGTGCCATTTATATTACATCGTTTTCGAAAACACAAAAATATTCCAATCTATTAAAGGTTTGTGTCATTTGTATTACGCGAATTTATGTTGACCGTTACAATTGACGGTTGACCTGACGGTGGCCCACTTTGTGTCCACGTAGGCGACACGTGGATGTCACGTTGGAAAAAATGCTTAAAAATTTTAAAAATACTTTTTATTAATTATTTATTATTCTATTACAAAATAAATATTCTTTTAAGTTTTAACCCCACCCACCCTATCTTCTTACAACATCGGGCCTCTATCCCCCAAGCCCCAACTCGACGGACGAACGGAGGTTCTCTCCTCCACCTGCGTTCCAAACGACGACGGCGGCGGTGACTGTGCCGGCGAAGCTTTGGACGGCGGCGACGCTGGAGCTTAGGAAGGTGGTGGTGGCTGTACATCTTTTGCGGTCGAGCTTTGGAAGGCGACGGTGAGTTTGGATTAGGCTGCGGTCGTGACACAACAAAAAATGAAGCAGGTCAGTTGAAGTGTAGAAGAGTGGTCGTATCTAAGGGTAAGTAAGTCGAAATTAGTCTTGATTACAACCCATTCCATAAGATTCAACTTTATTGAACGAATTTTTTTCAATTGTGGTGCGAATGAAACCCTAATTTTTTATAACAGTTGGTTTGGTGACCATCACCACCATGTTTGAGCGAAGATCTAACCACAGCAAAGCAGAATCAAGTTCTGCCAACTCATATATAGTGAAGTGCAGATGCAATGTACCGGCTATTGTAAATGTATCTGGGACAACAGATAATCCAGGGAGGGAGTTTTACTGTTGCCCGTATTGGAAGAACATTGATAAGAGTTGTAGGTTTTTTCTATGGGTTGATCGGCTATTGACGATGGACGACGATTCGAAGATGAAGCTCGTTGCTATTTTGGAAGAGAGATTGAAGGCGGTAGAAGCTAAGGCAGAACGAAGAAAGAAGGAAAAACAAGTGCTATATTCTGAGTTGGTCAAGACTAGGGATGAAAATGCCAGGCTGACTACAGTTGTTTATTTTTTAGCAGGTTTACTGATCAGTGTTATTGGTTGCTATTGTTGGTTGAAGTGAGTAAGCTGTATGAAGTTGATGATGTTTGTTGACATTGGAATGAAGTTCATTTTTAGTCGATGTTGTTTGTTGTCAATGTTTGCAGTTTCTGTTGTAGTTGACATTGTATGAATTTAATGACTCAATTCGGGAAGTTTTAGCATGATGTTTGTGCAATATAGTAGAACGTAGACATGAAAAGATCATTCCAACCATACAATACTTCAGTCTAAGAGCACGTGGGCAAGAGTGCCTCGGCCCTACATTCTTCACCATGAAGCACTGTCGCCCTCCATGCCAACTTCCAAACACATACCACCCACAATTTTGCCTACACACTGCCCTCTTCTTCTTATCCGTACTGATGTTCCACTTGATATCAGCTCCTATCGAGATGCAATAATCAGACACGGCCTCTTTAAATTGCTCACCTGTCTCAAATTTCAGACCAACCACGATATTCAACTGTGAAGGCTCCCCATGTGAATCGTAAATAACCCCATCGTCCTCATCATAGTTAAGGCCCGATGAGTGTCTGTATTGTGACTCCGGAACACTCCTCGAATTTTCTCCAGCCTCAACCTCTTCTGCAGATAGGAATTGAGCATCATGCTCCATTTGTTGAGCAAGGGCAGCAGGTTCTTCCACCCCATCGTCACGGTTTGTCATACTCTGGAAGCTAGACTCTTGCTCAACTTCTTCACCAGAGTCCTTGCAACTTGTCCGAACCTTCCTCTTATGCTCATGTCTTCTCTTGTGGGCTCGTGCCTCGTGGAACTCATCGTCTGAGGTATGCACGTCTTCATCTTCCTCGTCGCTATCCTCAACATGGACAATATCAGCTGCAAAAGACTCTTCAGCCTCTTGATCTTCATCTCCCATCTCCTGATCTTCATCTCCCACCTCGATACCCCCTTCTTCAATCACTTCGTTGTCACCAACAACTCCTAACCCATCACTAGCTTCAATAAATATCACAATCTGCCCATTTTGGATTGAAGGAATCAAACCATCCATCACCTCGGCATCAGAAAGCAACTCGTGAACCCCCTGCTCCATGGTAGAATGTGGTGACATGTACCACATTCGATCCACCCTCTCATAGTTCAAATACACCACACCAACTTGCTGAAGTACGAAGTAGGAGAGCACGTCAATGTCTATGTCAAATGGCTCTACACTCCCACCAACGTATCGAGGTATGCCTTGGGAGAAGTCCATCCAACCTCCATGGTTGAAAATCACCTCAACCATCTCATTAGCCATCCTGCAATAAAATACATTATTTCCTTTCATTTCCCAACCAAACTGTCTACACAATTAAACAAGCAAACAACTCCCCAACACAATCCGAGTAAAATATAGCAAACAACTCCCTACAGCCGAGACAACATATACTAGACAACGACAACACAACAATCCACAATCCCTATTCTATCAAATTGTCCAAAAAACTAGACAAAGGAAGTAGCACAAACCTGTTTTTCACCAAGCAGTAGGGCTAAAATCGTCTTCACACTCAAGCTCGTGGTCCAAGCTTTTGTAAGGAATCTTCAACTGTACACCCACCTTTACTCTTCTCCATCTACTTTCGTACCCACCACCAGAAATATACTACAAATACCCAGATGTGAGGAGCAGGTTCTATTTCCCCAAAGGTCCCCAAAAAACCCTAGAAACTCTGCCGATAAACCTCCTCTTCTCTTCGCAATCACCTTCTATGTTTGGTTAAGGAGAAGACTCAGGAGGAGGGAGTAACTCCTACTACTCCTTCGCAAAATTCTTGCTTCACTTCTGGTTCTTTTTCTCCAAACACCAGCGACGAAGGTAAACGAAGAAGTAGCTCGGCGACGATTCGACAGCTCCGCTCCTCCGATCTCACTCCCAGCAACGATCCGACTTCTTCGCCTCTACTCGCACGCCGATTGATTCCGCCCAGCTCGTCGATTTAGGGAAATTTTTCCCTATGCGAAGCTAGGGTTCTTCTGTGTTTCGCAGTGGAGGAAGAGGGGAAAGATTGAGAACGAAAAGAGTAAAGGGGAGCCCGAGTCGGTTTTCACTTTTACCTTGGGTTTTTTTCCCCTGTAAATAAACCACGTCAGTGAGCCACGTAGGATCCTAGTAAGCGCTGACTGTGCGTTGAAAAGTCGCACAGTTATGTTTAACAGCCCAACTAACAGAGAAGACATTTTAGTATACAAATGGCATTTCGAAAACGATGTAATATAAATGGCACTTTCTCTAAAGGATGGTATTTCCAGTGGTATTAGCCCTTCTTCTTTTCGTGTCATGTTAACTGTAGTGCTGTCGGTTTGAATGTCTTGGGTGGTGGAAATGTAACTTTGTATTCTTTTCTATGTTGTTTCCCATGCCATTGCCATGCCGTCGGCCTTTTCTTTTTTTTTTCTTTTCTTTTCAGCCTACTGCCTCCATTTGAATTGCAAATCTATTGGCATGAGTTTCTTGATACTTCGACTCCCTAGTTTTATAAAGCAACCTCTTTTTCTTTCTAAGTGGTTCGTGCATTTTGCAGAGATTGTAGCTAGCTGGGTAATGGACGGAAACGTTGTGAGAAGGGTCATTCCGTCGGACAATTCTTGCCTCTTCAATGCCGTTGGGTACAGTTCTTCTGGTCTATATGTTTGTCTCATACATTGGATCCTATTCTTAGTTTGTCGTGTTGGAATTCTCATCCTTTTTGAACAAAATTTCACATGCAGATATGTTATGGACCATAACAAAAATAAAGCTCTTGAGCTTAGACAGGTTCTCATCTAATCTCTTTTGCTTTATGCATGCTTTGTTTCTGTGTTCCGTTTTTCACATCAATTGTTTCTTTGAATGTTCACTTGAATAAAATAGTAGTGTTTGTTGGTTTTGAGTTGGCATAAACTACCTCGTGATGGTGTATGCATGTAAGAAGGTTTCTACATGTATTTATCAATCGGCTTGATTACTGATGATATGTAATGAATGTTAATCAAATATGTATATACCAAACTGAAGCATGCAGGATAAAGCTCCTAGGTAGACTAGCATCTTGGTTTAAATTACTTTTCTCTGTGTGCATGAATACTTGATGAGCTGATCTGAAATGAATGTTAATCAGAAAATTGTTGAGAATTCAACCATGCCCAATTTAAGTTCTTTACATTGAATGGCTTACACAATGGCATGAGACTACTAGAGGGATTCAAGCATTTTTAGTTCCTATGTTTTCGGATGTTAGATGTGACAATGAATCAACAATGATATTGCATGAATGAATTGGTTGGCATTGTGCTGTTGACTGGCTAACCATAGATGGACTCCTTGCCTTTGCTTCAATGACTTCAAATCTTTTTGTTTGGTCTTTTATACCTTTCAAAGTATTGGTATACTGATCTTCTGTTTGATTGCAATTCTCTTGAAGGTTATAGCTGCAACAGTGGCAAGTGATCCAGTTAAGTACAATGAAGCATTCCTTGGAAAGCCGAATCAAGAATATTGTGGATGGATTCTTGATCCGGAGAAGTGGGGAGGTATGTTTGCTTGTTTCCTTTAGGCTGATTGAGAGGATACCTCATCAGCTCTTTCATTTACCAGTCCTGCTTACGCCCTCTACAATTTTCCTGGAGTACGATGTGCTTATTTCAAAATAGGCGAAGTATATAACCAACCATGTCCATGAACAAAAGAACCCGTAGAAAGTGTTATAAAGTTGCGTAATATGCTAATCATCTGATTCCATTCTGTAGAAACTGTACATTGAGCCGTGTTCTGTGACAATACATAAAAGCAATTTCTGATTACTGGTGCACAGATCATTTATAGACAGTTCAAGGTTTGCTGCATGCATATCCTATACGGGCTATAACCATAACTTGTTCGCGTACTAGGCATATCCAATGCCTAATTGTTAGTTGTTTCTACCAAAAACATTTGAAAATATAACTTGCATGTACTTGTTCCTTACCTGTCAAGCAAGAGTATCATCACTTTTTCAAATATCTTGATCTTCCTTCTCACGTGAAGGTGCCATCGAGCTTGCAATATTGGCCGATTATTATGGACGGGAAATTGCAGCATATGACATTCAAACCACTCGATGTGATATATATGGTCAGGTAACTAGTGTCAATAGCCTTGAAGAAATAGTTGTTATCCGCTGAATTACCAAATTTAACCTTTTTTCTCTCCTTTGTTTTACTCTTAACAGGACAAGAAGTACTCTGAAAGAGTGATGCTTATCTATGATGGTCTCCACTATGATGCTTTAGCTGTATGTCTCCTTCTCCATTTTCAGATTTCGCAGAGCAGCTAGAAAGCTAGATACTGACTTTAAAATGCATGGCTCCTTATTGATTGCTTCTCGTGGATTTTCTTATAAACAGATGTCACCAGTTGCGGAAGCTCCAGAGGAGTTTGATCAGACCATATTTCTAGTCCACATGGACAGGACAGTTGGGCCTGTTGAGGGGCTTGCTCTTAATCTTGTTAAGGATCAGCAAAGGTAGTGCCTTATATCTGCTGCACTTTGATAAAGGGAAGAACTGTTTCCTTTCATTCCGAGACGGGTTTCATCCTGCTGATCAAGAACATTCCATACTTGGCAGGAAGAGAAGCTATACAGATACTGCAAACTTCACCTTAAGGTGTGGTGTATGCCAGATCGGTGTTATTGGTCAAAAGGTCAGTGCTTCGATTTGGTAATCCGTCCTATGCAATTTCTTTCTGTTCTTTAAGGCTCTGAGCTTAGCTTGTGTCAACTCAATTGTTCTTTCCTTAAATGTCAATGTTCAGGAAGCTGTGGAGCATGCACAAGCTACTGGGCATGTCAACTTCCAAGAATATAAATGACACAGATTTCCAAAGGAACCACTGATATACACCTGTGGAGCTCTCTGTTTCGTGACAAATTTCTTTCAATTTTCGCGGTAAGGAAAGCTGTTGTAGCTGAATGGTCTGAAGTCATGATTTCATCACAACTGGATGTTCTTCGTGTTCGTTAATACATTTCAAGGAAACAGTGTGACGAAACAGTGAGTTTTTCCAGAGAGCAATACGAAATTCCCACTTGTATACCAAAAGAAACCTTAGTCCAAGATGCGAATGAAGCTAAATGTTTATCCTCTAGAGCATTTACAACAAGAAGGGCTCGTACGCCCCAAGAAAGGAATAAATCTCTTGATAAGGCTCTTACTGTTACAGGAATTGGTACATGATCAAGCAAGTGCATTTTTTAGGCTTGGGGGTGGGCGGGGCATCCCTTAACGTCTAAATATTCTGCTTCAGTACATGGCGCAGTTGGAGTTTCTGGCTCTGCATCCTTGCTTCCAATAGCTGCGACTTCAAACTGTGCTTCTGCACGCTGCCTCTCGGCCATTCGATACATCCTTTCATTCCTCTAGTTATGTGGGGATTCCCCGACTCGGGTGATGAACTCCATTGACCCACAAAATCAGAAGGGCTAAAACTTCCTCCTCTATCTTTGCCTGAGCCCCTGTCTGGTGATACAACAATCCCTGCACTTGGTTTACGTCCATTAGAGAACCTACCATTCATTCCATCAACTGAGATAATCTTGTAGTTCTCCCCATTACTGCCTGACTTCCACAGCCTTGCAATTGCTGATGCCTTTTTAACCTGCCTATTATTCGGCAAAGAACAAAGCTCACTGATTTCTTCTGCCATATGAGTATCCTTGCAAATGTTTTCTTCTTCCCATTCTGTACCACTCTCTGACACATTGCTGTCCCTGTGAATCTTATTGACAGATGGAACACTTCCATCTGGCGAGAAACTCGAGCCTTGGTCATCGAGATGGCTCACCGTCTCCCACCCACTTTCATCCTCTTCTATCTCCTCATTCTGATTAATCACATAGCCATTGCAATGACTACCAGGACTGAAAGCAGTCGTGCATTGCTCAATGTCTCTCTCGTCATTTGGCTCACCAGAATTATATTCTTCAAGAACATCGAATATATCGTCCGGGTTAGAGGGCATGTACGTGAATTCCTTCACCTCTTCGATATTAGTGGCGGCTGCAGCCTGCATTAGAGATTCCACTTGTCTAACTTCTGAAATTGCAGCACCTCTTGACCTTAAAAAGCTTTCCAAATCTGATACAAGCTTATTCATCTGAGAATACTTCTCCTCGAGAGCTACTTTTGCATCAACCAGCTTCATTTGAACACGTTCTTCACGCCAAACCTCGGCTATCTGCAGCATCTTCCTCTCATCATCAACTTCTTCCCGCAGCTTCATCGACTCCCTCTTTATCGCTTCGATTTCAGCTTTGTCATCTCCGATTTCTTTAGCGAGCTCGTCGCATACTTCCTCGATCAATTCCCGACCCTTTCTTTCCTTTTCATAGTCTTGCATCAGTCGCTTCCCGGATACCTTTACATCAGCCAGCTCGTTAACCAGCTTCGAGTTCAAAATCTCCAATCTCTGCCGGTTCTTCCTCTCGCGGCTTAGGTCTGACTTGATGTCGTCGATGAATGCGCGGATTTTCTCATGCTCTCTGCTCCTCCATGTAGCTCTTTCCTCGCTAACTTTCTTTAGGAAGTGCTCGAGTTTCTTTTTCGAGGACCTTCGTTCGGTTTCCAGCTCATGGATGCGTACTCGAGCTTGCTCAAGCTCGGATTCGAGAGCGGAAACCACTGATACAGCGCTAACTTGTTGATCAAGACGGTTCATGTGGCTGTAGATCTGGCGTACTTCATCCGGTGTTTCGAAGCATACTGGATCCCACTTGGTTTTGCCCTCCATTGCAGAGTTGGAGAACTGGAAAGAAGGTTCAAGCTAACAAAGAAGAACCAATAACAGCTACAGTTAGGCAAATAGAAGACAAGGTCATTGGTAATAACTGAAGACAAAAATTTAAATTTCCTCAGATAGGTAAGCTCTGACATATCAGTCTTAAGCGTTAATTAATTATACATGTGAGAAGTGAAATCTTGGTTGTCACACAATACAAGAAGATTGCCTTAAGCAGCATTAAGTTCTTGTTAATATCCTATTACAATACTTTCTTCCTACGTGTCTCCAGTAATGATGATATTGTGTCTTCTGCTTAACTAACCTGTTTAGATTAACTTGTTGTGCATGTATATTTACGTGAATTAAACTCACATTGTGTTCCTAAATGTAAAGGGAAAAGAACTTATATCTCATGGTGGTATTAAATAGGAATTGCTGAAAGAAAATTCATTTGACCATCAAGCCATTTTTTCCATCACAACTCCAGGATAACAATGAAGCAAATGATCATGACTTCTCTGCAGATAATCTTCTATGATGCATGAAATCATTCTGTTGAAAGAAATCATCCAACACCATGCTCATTTGAGAGAGCAGGAGATCAAGAAGATAACATTTCCCATCTTCACGACTCACTGTTATCAATATTGGGGGAAAACCACTACATTTAACTTTTTCAGTTATGAAACCTCCAGAACAGACATACCTTACACAAGAACCTGTTCTTCATAGCAGATACGGCAGTCGCGCTGTGCAATGGATCCTTCAACTCAGACCCATAAACTTTCTCAGTCCCATGGGGTGCCAAAGAGACGCCAGCATGAGCAGCCCGGGGCTAAAAGAGAACAAACACAAGCAGATCAGAAAACCTTGAGAATTCACGTGTTCAATCCAACATGGTTCTGCTTAGAGTATCAATACATTGAAGGAATCCACGGAGTGAGAATAAATGGACTGTGAGCCGCCAAAAACTTAACCACAAAACTCCTGATCTCCTGGAGACGAGGTCACACATTTCAGTAATAAAGCATGACGAGGAGACCATAGTACATTATAATCAATGAATCAATGGGATCCTATCAGCAGAACTATTTTCATCACAGAAACCCACAAAAGTAAATGATAACAGAGACAAATCAATTGCTCTTTTAGATAGCATAATAAAGGCTTCAACCTTTTAGATGAGAGCAATCAATTATAGGAATCACCAATATCAGAGCACCACAAGAATCTTCACCACAAAAGAAGTCAATGACTAAACCTTGAGAACTAAGCTAATCACAAACACAGCTACAAACCGTAATGCATTATTCAACAATTTGCACTCATTTACTCCATATCTCATCGAATCATTCCCCAGCTTTAATACGCCCAAAAACTCAAATCACTCCAAAATTCCTCCAACATAATAACGCCACAAAAATCAAGGAAACAAAAACAAAAACAAAAAAGAAGGAATCACATTTACAATCTTACCTGAAATCCCAACCCATCCCTCCTTCTCCGCTCCCCTACGCCGCCGCCGCCAACCGCCGTCTCTGGCGTCTGCAACCTCCACAACCCAGTAGCTAGCTTCCTGGCAGAAACAGAACTCCCACTACTTCTCTTGCTCCTCCTTCTCCTACCCTCCTCTTTACCATTCCCCTGCTTCTCCTCACCCTCATCCGCAGCCACAGCAATATCCTCCCCAACCCCCTTAGCCCGACCACCATTTTTCCTCTCTCCGCTCTCCTCGACCTTCCATTTCAACAGGGGCGTCTCGGGTCTGCTCCGCCGCCCGACAGAAGGGGCGACCCGCTTCAACCGGGTCAGGCTCCGGGTCCTGCGCCGTGGCGGCCTGACGAGATCTGAATCTGGATTTTGCTGACGTGGGCTCTGATTAAACGCCTTGGAAGTAAGGATTGAAGCCCCCACTAGCGCCGCCGTCGCCGACGAATGCGGTTTCCCGGTGGTGACCTTCATTGCTGCTGTCAGACACAATCAGCCATTGACCCAACGCCCAAAAAGGGAAGACCCAAAAGATCAGAGCTTTAGAGGGAGAGTCAGAAGACTGAACAGAGCAGTGAAGTGGGCCGTGATGATGTGTGGAAGTAGGGAAAGTTGTGAAGCAGGGAGCTTTGTGATGTAGATAGCGAGTGAGAAAGAGAAAGGTTAAGGAGGAAGAGATTGTTTGTTCTCAGAGAAAAAATTTTCTTGGGGAATAATTTTTGGCTGTAAGATTGGAGAAAACGACGTACGATATTATTATTGCGTACTTTTCTATTTAGTTTTTTCTATAATTTTTTTTTTTCTATTTAGTTTCATGTTTTTGTTTTGTAGTAAAATCCTCGGATTCGCTGCGTTGTCCGAAAGGAGACGATGCGGTGTCGTTTAGGGGAGAATGATGGTGGAAAGCGCGCGCTCTCCGCCTAGTGCACGTGAGCTCCGGCATGTGGTCTGCCAGAGAGACGTTGCTACTTGTGCTAAGGTTTTTCTACTAGTTTTTTTACCAAGTCGATGTTCCATGATATATAGTAGCTTTGAGATTTTTTTTTTATAATTTGATGTGTGTGTTATGACAATATTTTTATAGGTATTAAATTATTTTGTATTATGATGTTATATAGTCGTGAACCGTGTTATATAGTTTAGTAACTTTGTCAAATAGGATTGTGACTCATGAATATAAGATTATGTTCATATTTTTGAATTTTTTATTTCAATGTATATATAAAAATGGAATATCTAATGCACTTCAAAATCAATCTTTAATCCCAAAAAATTATTCGGATTTTGATAATACCAAGTCCCAAAAATTTTGATACGATATACGATCTCCAAAATATCGATACCAAATTTACAATCATATAGAATGGATTATAATATTGTACTTTCTTAAGAGTATGAATGAATTCTTTTGTAAAATGTCTTAAGGGGTTGTTTGCTTCGTGGATTTAAAAAATGAAGTTTTTGGTAAAACTTGGGTTGTGTAAAATCATGGATATATGAGGATTTTTGGTTCATCATGGACTTGAAAAATACCATTGTTTGTTTCGTAGATTTCATGACGGATTGGTTAATAAGATTTGTATGTATGAAGTGAAATTTACCTTTATTGCCCTCATTGGTATGAGAAGAGAAATGAAATCGGAGGGGGTAGTTTCGTCTTAAATGATGGACTTCAAAGTCCATGATCAGTTCTCACCTAAATAGGTGAAACTTTCAAGTCCGTGGGGTCCATGGATTTGGGACCTTAAAGTTCGTGGGACCCACGGATTTGTTGCCCCTAAGGCCGAGTCCAATGCAGCCTGCATTTATGGGGTTGTCGGCATTAATGCCGATCTTGGAGTTCAAACTCAGAGAAATAAATGCCGAAAATCGGCAATTATGGAGGCGATCGGCAATTGGATCGCTATATATGGGGGAGGGTTTGCCGATTACGGCATTTATGGAGGATGAGTTGTCTGCTGGGGACAGGATACGGTGACAACCCCCTTGGGGGTTGTCAGATTCACAACCACCTTTGTGACTATCGGATACGTTCTCTCTCCTGTCTTTTTCTTCTTTTTTTAAATTAATGGTTAAGATTAAACCAAGGGCAAATTCGGAATGGAAAACTTACCACATGAGATCCTTTCCATTTTCCATATAAATACTTTTTATTACCAAAAAAAAAAAAAACAGACCCTCCCCCATTCTCCTGCGTCTCCCTTCTCTTCCCCTCTCACATATCTCTAACAAAAAAACCCTAGCCGTCAAGAGCTCCACCACCGTCGCCGCCTCTGCCTCCCCTGCCGCCGCGCCGCTGTCCTCCCCTCGCGCCCCTCCCCGCCGCTGTCCTCCCCGCGCCGCTGTCCTCCCCTCCCTCTTCCTCTCCCGTGCCCACCGTTCACAGCCTGCTGTCCCCGCCATCATGATCGAGATCTACGCCGCCGCCTGGCTCCGCGACGTCCAGATCGGCTCCGTCCGCGTTCTCATCAGCAACGTCCAGATCGACGTCCAGATCGTCTCTACACCAACCTCTCTGCCTCCGGCGTCGGCTTCAACGACCTCCTCGACGCCAAGGCCACCGCCGGGGGTGCGAAGAATCTCGATGAGAAGACCGCCAATGCTAGTGGTACCAATTCCTATTGGTACGATACCCCTACTCACTGGTACGTACCAGTGGCTCCCCTACCACTACTCACTGGTACCACTATCATCTGGTACCACTATCATCTGTTTTTTTGTGTTATTCTCTACTGGTACCGCTACCAATGATAGTGGTAGCGCTACCAGTGCTAGTAGCGTTGTGTTATTCTCTACTGGTAGCGTTGTACTGGTAGCGTACCACTAGTATTGGTACATTTTTTACTGGTACCGCTAGTACTGGTACATTTTTTAACGTACTGGTAGCGTACCACTAGCACTGGTATATTAATTACCAGTAGACTAATAGATTGGTACACTTTTTAACGCATTGGTACATTTTTTCAGGTTGCCGGAGGGAGTCTGCCGGAGAGAATTCGCCGGAGAAAAAGTTTGTCAGTCGATGCGGAGTGGCTGCTGGAGAAAGGAAAAGAGAGAGAGAGAGATAGATAGAGATATTAATGTATAAGATTTAAATTTCAGAAAAAAATTGTATTTAATATGGGTATTAAATTCCCAATATAATTAATACAAAAACGGTAATTAATATATTCATTTTTTTCATACCCAAAATATTCTTGGTTGTGAATCTGACAACCCCCAAGGGGGTTGTCACCGTATCCTGTCCCTGTCTGCTGCGCGGCACAACCGCCGGGGCTGGGCGGTGCCCGCCAGCATCTCTTTTTTTTTAATTGTTGTTGAGTTGTTTAAGGACATTTATTAAGGGAATTGTATGTAATTAATTAGGGGAAGGGAAATTAATGATTGTATTTAGGTTTTTTAGATTGTATTTAATTTATATTTAATATTTGTGTATTTAGGCTTTTTTTCTAAGATGACTTAAATTGAATTCATTTTATTTAAAATTTATGTTTATCATCTTTAAGTTGTGTGCAAACAAAAATTAGATCGAACTAAGAATGGAAATTATATTATTGAAATGAAAATGCGTTCGTAAATTACAAAATAAATTCGGTCTCGAAATTTAACAAAATTCTATCGAAAAATTTGTATTTAAAAATGATGACGAACTATACAAAAATTAACATGAACAAATTATATTAAAGTTTCGATAAGTACATTTTTAAATAAATGGGAAAAAATGGAAATATTAAGAACCTAAATATGGAGTTTGTTGCATTGGAGCAAAAGAAGGGAAAATGGGGTTCAATCCCCAAATTTGGGGCAAGGCCCCCATATTTGGGGTTTTGCATTGGACTTGGCCTAAGACCACCCACTATGGGGTGGGAAGAAGGAAAAGAAGAATCTTTTGCATATGGGGCTATAGTGGGGGGTTGAAAAAGAGGGGAAAAAGGGTTTTTTGGGTGGTTTTGGATGAGTTCCCCCCACGACAGGACAAAAAGAGGAGGGAGAGTGGACTGGCGGGGCCCGCGTGCCAGAGTTGCTTTTTACTTTTAGTTTTTCTTTTGCGTTTTAGTTTGGATTTTTTTAAATCGTAGATCGCTTTCAGTGCGATCTAACTATGGGGAGCGAACGGGATTAGATACCCTGGTAGTCCATGCCGTAAACGATGAGTGTTCGCTCTTGGTCTACGCGGATCAGGGGCCCAGCTAACGCGTGAAACACTCCGCCTGGGGAGTACGGTCGCAAGACCGAAACTCAAAGGAATTGACGGGGGCCTGCACAAGCGGTGGAGCATGTGGTTTAATTCGATACAACGCGCAAAACCTTACCAGCTTGTTGTTCCTCAACCTGATTACGTAGGTGCACAAGAGTACTTCGCGCCACAACCATCTCTTTTTTATAGGTTCTACGGACCGATGCCTGCTGCTTCATCTGGAAGAAAAGAATCATAGATATGCCGGTCATTAGAAGGAAGAACCGCCATAAAAAGATTCCTCGTGTATCATCTGTAGCAAAACTATGAAATGATAACTCACGGTCATCGGGAAGAGGGGGAAGCAAATATTAAAGTGAGGCTCGATCGGATGCTTGCGTCGGCGAGTCTACTGCAACTATACCCAGATCAGCAGCCTGTCGAACTTCAACTCCGATGGGCGGCGGCAATCAACATAGTTTTCCGGCAGCACTGCATGTTTGCCGATGGCCCACGGTGATTGGGTCTCTCTACCAGGCGTCCTACCCGTAGCTTCGGGGGGTATTCACGTTTGGCATATGCCTGCTCTGACAGAGATCTTTGGAGATGATTCCGTATTACAAAATGAACCGAACCTCGATCCACATTCATCAAAGAGATACGGCCATCTCTCTAGGTTACTACAACTAGCATTTCAGCCAGTTGTAGTAACCGGTACAGGTACAACTGGCAACGGGATTCCTTATCATTCTACTGTCTACCGCCTACCGAAATTCTTCTCGAATTACTACCTTCCTTCTCGTTCTCGAAAGTGCTGCCCCTACCTACTCTGCCTTGTAGACTATATTCGATTGGTGTAACTCTAGTCTACAATTTATATTGGATTAGCGTAACTATTTATACCGCAGCTACAAGCTGTGGTTGTTTTCCTCACATCTGGCTTAAGAAGAGAGACGATTCAAGCTAACTTCGGGGGCGGCATGGAGCATTCCATCTAAGTGACATAGGGAATCGGACTGGACTATCTGGACTAGAAAGCGTTTTCTTTGACCTTCTGAGTTAGATGGAGTCCTCCAGCTGGTTCTCGGTCATCCCTACATACGCAAATTTCTGCGCAATCAAGAAGGTGCGAAACCAGACATCAGGTTGAGTAGAGCTGTGGTGGATCTCGGAGGTTAGGACTTTGCCAATCGTAGCCCCGCCCTGCCCGAAGAGAGCGGACCTTTCAAACAAAGGATTGAGAAAGCATTCCCTAGCTAGCAAAGGATGGCTCGTTAGCAGGAAGAAGAGATTCTGGCGAAGCATAAGCTGTCCTTAGCCTAGTCCGTCTTGCCAAACGTCAGTGTAACGAGAGAGATTCATACCCGAAAGCCTTTTTTAGTTAATGGACGGCTTCGAAAAGAGAATTGTTTGATCCCGCCCAGGGGCTAAAGCTCATCGGCCCATTTACACTAATAGACAAGCCACAATTATAAAGTTTTTAATTCTCCTATACCGGAGAAACTAATAAAAAATAGGCTTTTTCAAGGCTCGTCCATAGATACATTCAAGACAGGCAGTCAGCTTTCAGATCATAGTCCTAAACCTACCTTTCTCGCTCTATCATTCCATTCTATCAGTCCGGTAGTCGGTCCTAACAGCGGTTGAAGCCTTCGAATCTATAAGTGTTTAGTTTTATTTTCTGAGTAGTCGATAGCGAGTCTTACGGGTCCAGCACCATCCGCCAATCGCTTATTGGTGAAAGGGCTATGTAGTAACCAGTCCGAGCCCTAGGTTAGCATTTCAGCCAGTTGATACAGACTACGACCAAAGTCGTGGCTGCTTCAACCAAAAAAGGGCGACCCCTATTCAAACCGAAAGAAGTACCTCACCTCACTTACGAAGAAGTAGTTGGAGCTGGGCGGAGAACTATGAGAGTTTGCTTTTGTTTCATCTTTCTAAGAGCGGTCTGTCTGATCAAATCAGGGAGAAGACCGCTCCTGGTGGTGTTCGAGCCGTCGGAGCGGGACTTCTTTGGGAAAAAGAACTTAAATAACTTCGTTTTTATGAAGGAGTCGTCCTTTTCTATCAGGAGCGCTATGTCATTTACAACCCCGGCGTATTTCGGATGCTTGAAGGCCCCATGGAGATGGATCCAGCGACTGCTGAAATACTTTAAAAAATAGATAAAGAAATTCAAAACATGGATAGCGACGGCAGCAAACCCTGGATGCCTTTTGGGAGCACCTGCCTCCCATCGATCCAGCGCATAGGAAAAAGGAAAAGGACTGGTTGTTTCAAGCTACGAAGTCCGGTGAATCCCGAGAGGAGATGCTTCATACAGGTGTCCCAGGGCTTCACATCGAACGAGTTAAATAACACTTCAAAAAAAGTTACTAATGCTATAAGTAGACACAGAAGGAGGAGAAGACGAAAAAGAAGCTACAGAAGAAGAGGAAGCCGAAGATACAGAAAGAACCGTCTCCAGCAAGTGAATTGGTTTCGAGAGCATTCCGCCAGTTTTTGGCGACTTTCACTTTCAACCCGATTCACCGCCTACGTGCCCTTTACGCCCAGTCATTCCGAAGAACACTTGCCCCCCCCCCCCCCCCCCCCCCCCCCCCCCCCCCCCCCCGTCTTACCGCGGCTGCTGGCACGGAGTTAGCCGGGGCTTCTTCCTCGAGTCCTGTCATGATCAGTTACATCCAATCACAAACTACACGAAAGTTGCCCCTTTTTCATGGGGATTTACCCATTACAGAGATGCACAGAGGAAAAGAACGAGCGAAATGTCCTCAACTTGGAAATGTGCGCCTCCACAGAGGAGAAAATCATTTCCATGTACAAAGTCATTTTTTATGGTCGCGAGGGCGAGTTAGATTTATTTGCATCCTTCGGCTCGATCCTCCAGGATCGCATAAGCACAGCCGTGTCAAAGAAGCTACTTATCTGGACATCCGGTTGCACCGAAGATGAAATAAAGAGTCCCTATATCCTTGTGGTTAGTGGAGAAGAGCCATCGGACCAGATTTGTCGTAAAATTGAGATTATTTTCGAACCAATCAATGTGTACGGTAGAATCAAAGTGAGTTCTGCTTCAAGTATTGGATCTCTTGTCTCCACTCAGTTAGTTAAGAGGAGTCATGGAAAGAACTTTTAGCCACGCGGGGCGGCTATCTGCATGTGTCCCAAAGTGACGTCCATTTAACCGAACCCAGGTCAAAAGTCAAATACGATATCCAAACTGAGAAAAGGCGTAGGCCGTTAAAACAGCCCGTGCTATGAATAATGTTTCGAGGGGGGGTCGCTCTTCAACGTAATTACGGATAAGCCTGCGCACTGTCGCCACGTCATTGCCGCCGCCCAGCAATCCAAAGCGTATCACTTCGCGGATGTCATTTGTTATCCATTCCCCGGAATTCAACCTGTTTAAAATGACATAAGGCCCGGCACTCAAAGACAAGGTCTGGCTAAATAGAGGCTCGCGTGGGGTGTACAAAATGGTAAGCATCACTCAGTCTTGGGACTTTATCATCCACAGGAAAGGGTTCTGCACTCGTAAAGCCGGAATCTTCCCCCTTTCCTACCCTATACACGTAACCCCGGTATAAAGAACTGCACACTAACTCTCGCCCCAGCACACGTCACCTCGGGGTATAGAACCTCTACCTATCGGTCTCACATATTTTCTACCTCTCCCTATCGGTCGAGCGAACCTATAGGTGGTGCGGTACGTAGTGGGTTTAGTACGCCCCGCCAAAAGGGCTCCGAAAGAAAGAAAAAGGTGCGTGCCGCACTCACGAGGGACTGCCAGTGATATACTGGAGGAAGACCATAGCTCGTACAAGTAAGAGGTTTTTCAACATGGGCTGCAGATTAAGTGATTTATTATTGGAATCCCTCCTCGCCCACAACCGGCCAAAAAGGGAAGGACCTTTCCCTCTGGAGGTAGGAAAATCGTGATCGGCGAGAAAGAAGCTGAAGCGGATGATACGGATGTTCTTTCTGAAGATATTTGAAAGCGTTTTGATAAACTACGATGCGGCAAATCATCTATTCCAGAAAAACTCACTTAACACTTTCTCATTCACACCGCCCGACTAGTGCGCAATAAAGACCAAGGCAAAGCCTCTTATTTCGAGTTCGACGAATTCTGAGGGAAGTGCTTATCGCTACTACCAACTACAGCAACTGAAAAAAAGGAGCTAACCGACTAACACTAACAGTTATCCGAAAGACGGTTCTGCAAGCCGGACTTAACGACAGATCTTCAAGACCTGGTTCCCTTCAAGAATTGGAATCCTGAAAGACACTCCTTTGAGTGCGACAAGGTCATAAACTCTCCACATAAGACCGAAGCGAGTTTTATTATATTAGTCCATTGACCCGTTGTGTCAGAGGTGGGGATGTAGATCCCATGCGGGGCTAATAAATCCTCCTCTATCTGTTGCGGGTCGAGGGCTCCTTCTTCTTCCCCTTCTTCAAACTCCGATTCGTAAAAAAAAAGTCTTTCGTGGATTCTTGCCATCACTGGAAAACAAATGGAGCTGTAGACATTAAGGTAAGGGACCGAGATTATATACTGCTGCAGAAGCGGAATCGAAGGGGTTGGTTGAAAGGTAAGGATAGCGTGATTGGCCGAGGTAAGGATAGCGTGATTGGCCGAGGTAAGGATAGCATGATTGACTGGTTTCGGGTCCCTTGGATCATGGGCCACAGCTATTTGGGTAGAGACCACTGAACATCATTTGGGAATGAGGAATGCAAGATAACAGAGTAGTTTCCGCCCAAAGGGTCCTCTACTGGACCGGTCTCCGGGGATGAAGTAAACTTGCTACTGATTGAGCATGAAGCTTGTTACATGAAGCTGCTTTGAACATGAATGAGACGTGCTATTAGAGAAGGGATAAATTGTTGTTTGTTCAAGCTACCACTGATGTAACATGTGAATGAACATATGAACATGTTACACGCGTATATATGACACATGTGTAGCATCAGGGTTGTCAACGAGAGAAGGCTTCTTGGTTACAGAAGGGTAGCTAGGATCCGGCTGATGGGCTAAAGTAAAGAAGGAGCTTTTAAGCCCTGGGTTGTCAACTAGAAGGAAGATGTTAGGCATCCGGGTGTGCTATCTGAAAGAGGGCTAGCAAAGTTTTTTCTTACTATCCCATGTGGGAGAGTTTAAATGCCACTTCCTTCAGCTTGCCTAAACCTTCCGATGGTAGCGAAGGGGAAGGGTCGGTCTGTCATTCTGTCCTGAGAGTTTAGTAAGGACTTTCAGCTTATCGTTAGAACGCTTTCTCGCGGGCAAGGATAGCTGTCCAAGGCTTTCGTCTCGGGGTAGCAACCGAATCTTAGAAAAGCGCAGACGGGATTAGTGGGAAGGGCTTGGTCGATAGAGATTGCTTTTTATTTAGAATCCCTATTGAATTGGGCGAGGAACCCTCTTCTACTCATTCATGGGCTAGGCTACTCAAAGGTTGCTGACTCTGATATTGATTCTCAAAGTGGGCATCCTCCAGCTGGATCTCTAGTCTTTCTCATGTTTTCACTTTCACTTTCAGCAAAGAGGTTTCAAGCAATCGAAGGAGCAATCCGTGGCAGCTCAGCTCGCTTCTCACCCTAGTTACAAGGTCCTCTTTTTTAGGAATAATAAGAAAAATCTCAAGATCTTCTAAAGAAGGCTGGTGTAATGGTTTCTGATATACAGAGGGAGAAAATCTTACCTCCGTTTTCAAGTTTCAGTCTTTCCAGTGGGCAAGCAAGTTTCCCTCTTACTTAAGTAAGAGTAAGCTCCCATCGAAGGAAATTGAGTATTCATTCTCAGGCGAAGGGGAAGAAGAAGCAGCGAAACGGTAATAGGAGATTAGGGCAACGAAACCTCTTTGATAACGATAGGGCGTGAGCGCAGAACCTCTTTGATCCCTTGTTATGTATTCAGAGAGGTTCAGGTATGACAAGTCAATGAAATGCTCAAATAAGCATTGAAATTTTCCCAGGACAGGAACTACATGATAATAGAACTCAATCAAAGAGGGCAGGTTCGGGATTCACTTCCAATCCAAAAAAAAGGTCCTCTTAAGCGCATGGTCCTAAAGATTCAATCTCAAAGCGGTACTAAAGATTAGGCAGAAGCAGACATTTGTAATTCGTGGTCTAATTAGACAACGTCTTGCTTCGAACATAGGAGTTGCTAAGAGTAAAATTCGAGAAAAAGTGCCAATTGTATGGGAAATACTTCCTAGTTCCTACTGCTTTTTTACTTATAATTTATGTAAAAACTGTTAGTCAAAGTGATTAATTTGAATGAAACTTGACTTCTTAGTTCTCATCAATATGAACGATTAAAGAAAAACTGAAGAAGGTCACTTCGCATTTCTTTTTTCAATCCCCAAGTGAAATTTTTGCTAAATTCATTTTCAACAATGAAAAAAATGGCAAAAGAATTGGTAAAACCTTTATATTGGAATGGGTGAAGAGTCAAGTGTTTTGGCAATTCGTCCCCTGCGGAGGAATCAAGATCATTTTGAATCATAGTTCTAGATTTTTGTTCATCCCTCGTTGTAATAATATCTCGGGGTTTGCAGCGATAACTTGGTATATCTACTATACGACCATTAACTAAAATATGCCTATGGTTAACTAATTGGCGAGCTCGAGGAATGGTTGCCGCCATACCCAATCGAAAAAGGATGTTATCCAAACGCATTTCAAGTAATTGTAGTAAAACCTGACCTGTTGACCCTTTAGCTTTTGCGGCGATACGAACGTATTTAAGTAATTGCCGTTCTAACGCCTTCTTTTTTCTTCGCATCGGAGTTATTTCAAAATTCCCATGGTAAGGAAGAAGGGGGGAACACGCACACTTGGAGAGCCGAGAGTTATCAATATTTATCAAATCTGTTCCTATCTAACGGAACGCTATTGGATCAAATGACAAAGGCATTGTTGCTTTTTAACGTAAATTTAGATAGGATAATCCTTTTAATTTCAAATAAAAAAATGAAAATTAAGAAGGGAAGCTCATTTCTTTTTTGTTTACTGATAATTGGAGCCTTAAAGCTCTATCCATTTATTTCCTCGACCCAACGTTGAAACATTAAGCACAAGCAAAAAAAATACGCAGCGACCCGTTTAATTAGAAGTATTAAGAGCCTTTCCCGTCGCATTTCTCCGTTGTGCACAAATTCAATAAGTTATATGGGCAAAGGGAATAAGGTATTTTGCGTCTTTTGTTGATCAGGCGACACCAGGAATCGGTCTGATTCTATCTCTGTTCGTTCCGTTTGAAGAAAGGAAGGGTCGCAAAGAATCGATCTTTCTTTTCGTTTTAGTTGTTTAATCTCTCTTTGATTGATCAATGTGTGATATCCCGAATCCTCATTACTAATGGAATCGAAATGATCTCTGGATTGATCAGAAGATCCCTTCAATTGGCTAGAATCCTTTCCTTGAACGAAACTAGATCTTGTGGAATCATATTGAATATTTGACGATGTATTCCGTGCCTTGCTAAAAAACCATCTGAATTGAATTCTTTCTGGTTAAAGAATCTCTTTCTAGTTGCTCTGGAACAATTAGGAGATTTTCTAGAAGAAATACGGGTTTCTGGCGGCAACATGCTATGGGGTGGTGGTCCCGCTTATGGGGAATCGAATACTAAAAAAGCCATAAAAAATATAAAAAAACTAGAAGATAAAGAAATAATTCAAAAGAATACAAAAGATCCTTTCCAGAAAGGATTTTTTGGGAAGCTGCGGGTTCGAGCCCCGCCAGTCCCGGTGGATCCAAATCCAATCGAGTACCCTATCTTTCCCAGTAGTCCATACACAAATGGAATTTTTATTTCTACAAAATCAAATTCAATTGCTTTGCTAGAATACTTTTCAGATTCAAAGTGAGAAGCAAAAGATTCGAGAGTCCCAGGCTCAAAATACATGCATAGATAGTGGTCTAATGACAAGGGCCGACGACGGAAGCTCGGGACGGAGCCGTATGATGCGGAAGTCTCACGTACGGTTCCCTGAGAAGGGGCAGGCAAAGCCATACAAATCCATAAGAGAGAGTCCTTTTTTCGTTTTCTTCCACGAAATGTCCAAATTAAAAAAATAAATGTGATATTTTCATCTTAACTAATTACTACTACCTATATAAAAAGAAAAATCAAATTATTTAACTAAAGTGACAAAATCAACACTAAATCAAATTCATCAAAAAACACCTCTCTCACATTTCCCTATTTTCCCTCCCAACCCATTGTGGGTTTCCCCACTCTCAAACCTATAACCCCCCCCCCCCCCAACCCACCCAGATTTCCCACCAATCATAGTGGATGGTCTAAATGCATGAAGCAAACAATGGATGTTGGACAAATTCAATGATGGATCCAAATCTCTCACTAAATCTATCAAGCAAACAAGCCCTTAACATTTCGAAATGACATTTTTATAGAGGTTTCACTCATTCTCTTAATTCAATCAATCTATAACAAAACAAGAAATCGTGGAGTTATTGATGTGGCAAATTACATCCGCTCATTTGACCTTAGAATACCAAGACAATCGACGAAAGAAGAGGGAAACGTCGTGAAAGAAAAGAAAACGTCACAACACCCCATATGTTCTCATATAATCCGCGATATCCCTCATCACTATTTAACATGTTCCATCTCTATTCTGACAAAATTTACATATAATTTTGCAAAATAAATTATCTTGGCTAAATTACACTTTGGTCACTCAAATTACATAAATCTCTTCACGATGTTTCTCCTTTGTAATTCCATATAAGATTGATATACACTCTATGGCTCCTCTCCACTCTGTTGTGGTTCCTAGTTAGAATTCGTTATGAGAAGGGCCGGATCTTGAGAGGACAAAAACAATATGATCAAAGTCAAAGAGCACAATGATGGCATATGCGAGCAACATGATAACATGGTTATATGTCGCTGTGAGCAGGATGATGATGAATTATGTGTCCGATCATTTTATTGGGCCGCGGCTGAAGACAAGTATCAGATTATAACGGGCGAGGAGGTCGCAGATTGAAAAGAGTGAGCCTTGGATAATTCAACCCTTCGGGTCGGGTCAAATTAGCCTGGCCCAATGGCTTTGGAGGGCCAACTTACGGCCCTAACCCAGACTCCTCAGTCATCTCCCGCTGGTGCCCAATCTCGCAGTCGCTCGACCCAAAGTCCCACTAGAGAAGGAAGGCACAGTCGAGTCGAAACAGTCCTTCACTCATCATTTCGTCGCCCATGCACCCGCCCGCCGTCGATGAGGATTTCTTTCTTTGAGAAAGATAGGAGCCAAAGGTTGTCTCCTTTCAGGTCGTTAAAGGAGCTTGTTATTAGTCAGTGTGATGTGATCTAATGTGTTTCTAGTCATTCGTTTCTTCCGAGATCAAAAGTTTACAAGCCAATAATTATAGGTTCTAGCCCTTTTCTGTTGATGAAGGCACGGGGAATTCATTTATTTGACATTTTGTTGGGTTTGATTAACTCTTTAGGTTCGTTTGCTTCATGAGATATGGATTTGGGTCCAAGTTCATGATTTAGCATAAATCCATTGTTTTCTCTATATTTTGGTGAAAGGTGATGAAGTGTATTCAGTTCCACATTTGTCTCTATGATTTTTAGTTGTTAGACTAGTTGTTAGTGGGTTGTTATAGTCCCTTCTTTTACTACTTTCAGTTCCTCTATCTCTGCAGCTCAATGTACTTTAAAAGGCATTCATTCAATAAGAGGAATCTCAAGCTTTGTGCTCGTTTATGGTATCAGAGCCCTGCACTCTCTAACGAGAATTTTTCCCTTTCCTTACCTCTTCTCTTTCGTTCTTCTTTCTCGCAATGGCAACTGAGTCTTCCTCTGTTTCCTCCACCTCTGCCTCTGGTGACTCCTCTTCCTTGCCGGCAACCACTCTGGCTCTCCCTGCCAATCCATAGTTGTCAATCAAACTCACCCCTACCGATTATCTCCTATGGCATGCGCAGACCACGCTGCTTTTATGCTGTCACCACCTTATGGGTCACGTCGACGGAACTCTGTCAGCCCCGCCGCAGCTCGTTGATGGTCGCCCCAACCTGGCTTATCTGACCTGGTATCAACGTGATCAATACGTTCTTACCTGGATTAATTTCTCTCTCTGAGTTCGTGCTCCCTAATGTAATCAACAAGGTTACTGCTTATGATGCGTGGTCTGCCCTCGTTCGATTTATGAGTCTGGATCTAAGCTTCAGATCCGCCATTTGACGAAGGAACTTCAAAATCTTCGGCGTGGTGATGCCGCGATTTCTGACTATCTTCACGCGATTCATGATTTTATCGCGTGGCTCCTCGATGGCCTTGGTGAGGATTATCGACCCTTTGTTCGTCACATTGAGTCTCATATGGAGCCGATCAGTTTTGAAGACCTGCACTCCTTGTTGCTGAGTGAAGAAAGTCAAATCCGACGTTATTCCATCTGTCACGATTCTCCGGCGCCAACGACATTCTATTCTAGCGCCGCCGTTTCTCGTGGAAACATAGGCGGTTGGGGTCATGGACGAGGGTCTCGAAGGGGCCAGCTTATTTCTAACCCTATTATGTCTTCTGGCAAGTTCGGCCCAACCGCGAGACTCCTTGGTTCGCGGCGCACTTCTCCTCAGGTGGTGTGTCACCACTGTGGGGGGGGGGGGGGGGGGGGCGTGGCATATTAAGGCCAATTGCCATAGCCCAACTCTTCACCCCATTACCCAGCCTGTTCCCCATCCTGCCGCCGGCCCACAAGCCTCTTATGGCCTAGCTGGCTCATCTTATTCCAGCCCACACACCATGTTTGCCTCTTCTCCGGCCCAAATGCTTAATTCCCAGCAATGGCTCATGGATTCCGGTACAAATCATCATTTAACTTCTGATATGGACAATCTTGCTCATCATTCATAATATAACGGCACTGATCATGTCATGTTTGGCAATGGTAACTCCCTCCCAATTGCTCATTGTGGTTCCTCTCACACTTCTTTATCCAATACTCCCATTACATTAGATAATATACTTCATGTGCGCAATGCTCCTTATAATCTTTTGTCCATTAGTGCTCTTACACGTACTAATCCCATTTCAATCGAATTCTTTGACTCTCTCTTTGTCATTAAGGATCGGCGCACGACGAATGAGATTTATCGTGGTTATGCGATGGTTGGTCTCTACTCACTTCCCCTTCATATTTTTCGTCATCTACCACCTCTTACTTGCACTGCTACGTTGGATGTGTGGCATCGTCGCCTTGGGCACACTCATGATCGTGTAGTCAAACAAGCTCTTCGTCAACATCACATAAAATTCCTTCCCTCTCAATCGTCATTATGTCATGGTTGTGCTGTCAGTAAAATTCGCAAATTACCTTTTGTCTCTTCTACTTTTCAAGGGTCTGCTCCATTAGAACTTGTTTGCAGTGATGTTTGGGGCCCTGCTCCTATTCTATCTTATGATGATCAATCTTACTACATTATCTTCTATGATCACTACAGCAAATTTTTCTGGATTTATTTTATTCGATATAAATCACAACTGCTTAGTGTTTTCATTCAATTTCGGCAATTGGTTGAAAAGTATTTTGGCACTCCCATTAAAACCTTTCAGTCCGATTGGGGCGGTGAATATCAAGCTCTGTCTTCCTACTTAAGCAACCATGGTATTGCCCATCGTTCTTCTCCCTACACACCTGAACAAAATGGGTGTGCTGAACGCAAGCATCCTCATATCGTGAACAATGGTCTTGCTCTTCTACACCATTCTAATGTTCCTCAAAAGTACTGGCCCCTTGCGTTCGATACCGCGTGTTACCTCATAAATCGCACTCCCACTCCGCTCCTCCAAAATTTCTCCCCCTTTCATGCCTTATTACATCGTCCTCCTGATCTAGCCAATCTTCGTGTTTTTGGTTGTCTCTGCTATCCATGGCTCCGTCCTTACGCCACTTATAAACTCGAACCTCGTTCTGTTCCTTGTGTCTTCTTGGGATATAGTAAGCTTCATAAGGGATATTGTTGCCTGCATGTTGATACTGGTCGCATATATATAAGTCGGCATGTATTATTTGATGAGTCTCGTTTTCCATTTACAGAAGTTCCTAATTCACTCTCATCTCCTCTCTCATCTCCCTCGTCCATTGCCTTTCCTATCACTCTGCCTTTCCCACCACCCACCCTTCCAACGGTCCCCTCCCTCCAACCCAAGCCCAACCTCACACCCTTCCCCTAGCCCACCTCTTATTAGTGGCCCCACTTCTCCTTCCCACACATCTCCGCCCCATCCCTCAGCCCATCTCACCTCCCCCGCCTCTCTCTCTCACCTATCCCATCCCAACAGCCCCATCCACTCTTCCTCTCCAGCCTTATCCTCATCTGCTGCTCCTGTTCCTCCTCCCCAGCATCCACCGTCGAGGCCCAAACACACTCCCCTGCCTCCTCCTCGTTCGCTTCCCTCTCGCCCACCCTTTACCACCTCGCCTCGTCCTTTGATTATTACCAATCCTACTTCCTCCTCTCACCGCATGGTCACTCGAATTAAAACAGGTAATCTGAAGCCCAAAACCTTGCTATCCCACCTTCCCATAGATGATACTCCCACCTTGGTTGCTCAAACCCTCAAGCTCCCGCACTGGCGCGCGGCCATGGCCGAAGAAGTCTCTGCTCAGCTCCGAAATCAAACCTAGGAATTGGTTCCTCCCCCACCCGACTGCAACATTCTCACCAATAAATTGGTTTGGCGCACAAAAATCCACCCGACGGTTCTCTCGATCGGCACAGGGCGCATTTGGTGGCTAGGGGATTTCAGCAAATTCCTGGCCTGGATTTTCACCAGACCTACAGTCCCGTTCTTAAGCCGGTCACTAACCATGAGTACCTGTCCACATCAGCATGACATCAGTAGTCTCTGTCTCCTGGAAAGTCTTTTATCTTTTCCCCTTTAATCTTTAACGGACGATTTCTCTCTCGTTTTAAGTCGAAATTTAAATTTTTTTGCACAGATAAATCAGATTAAATATGCTCTTCAAAATGATATCCACTTTGGTATATTTTTAGTACAAAAAAAAATTGAATAATTTTTTACCAGTCATTACCAGATGGTATGCTCCAATTTAATACCATATGGTAAGAAAGCGTACCATGATGGTATGAACATACCAATATGGTAAGAAGGTTGAATACATGATAGTAGGAGTATATTAACTGTCATTTACGACTTTCATCATTGTTTACTACAAGTTACCAATCACATACTATAGTGGTAAAGTATGATAATTTTTTATCTAGTATTTTTTTCACCCAGAAATTTATAGATCCGATAGATCATGATGAACTCGTTCCTTCTGAGCAAACGTTTTAAAAAACGACTTAAAAACGAAGAAGTTACCATATGGTTATGTAGTTGGTAAAAAAAAGTTTCTCAAAATATATTGAAAATTGATCTCATTTTGTAGAGCACAACGAACTCGTTTCATCAGTGCATAAAAAATTGAAATCAGAGTTAGAACGAAGAAGATAAGAGCCAATTAAGAAAACTAGGGAAAATAAAATGTCTTTAATTGACAACCCTTAGATCTGAATTTTCTGGACCCACTTAAATCTAAAGGTCCACATTTAGTTACTCATAGGTTAGTAACCATTGGTTATTGACCCTATCCTAAGCCCTCTATTCTGCAGCTCAATGTACTTTAAAAGGCATTCATTCAATAAGAGGAATCTCAAGCTTTGTGCTCGTTTAGAAGGATCAAATTGGTGAGACTCATTGACTTTGAGAGTCCAAATCGATAGATCCGATGGACTGCTTTGGAATATGATCACAAATCCATTGGCACCAGTATAATAATTACTTATGTATTCTCTTGCCCAAGATATAAAAGAAATAAATAATGATAGTAAGGTAATTTACATATTAAAGCTACAAAACCGTAACAACAAATCCAAGAATAAAATCCATCAAACGAGCATAAAATTTTTAAAATCTATAATCAACCAAATCTATCACAAATCCAAGGGTTTACAGAACCCAGGTTATGACCCCAAAAACCTCATACCTCCAAATCCATGAAGCAAATGACCCATAAACTCTCAATTAGAGCTCTTGACTAGGTGAACCAACTGAAACTCATGAACCATATAGCCTATGTAAACCAATTAACCAATGAAAATTGCGGGGAGGCTGCAAATGAGTCATACTGCTCACGAGTATGTCGACGTTTGGCTCACAGAAAACTCATTCGATGCTCGGCTCCTTTACCAACGATATGAAGTTGAGTTAACCCTGGTTTGACTCGTAAAACTCGTGAGCCAGCTTGACTAGGTGACTTGTTGAGATTAACTCGAGAGCTCGCTCATTTTGACCTATGAGCTGGCTCGACAAGATGGCCAACGAGCCACCTTAACTAGCAATTTATGAGAAAATCAGTTAATAGCTTATTATTGACTTATTGAGAATTCATAGGTTTGTTAGATTATATCTCACCACATATGATGTTTAACACATGATTAAATATGTATAGTTTATAATTAAAAAAAATATGTATCAGAAATTGCTCAGATACAATTACTATTAAATAACATGATATGAACAATTGAAATTATGAACTAAATGATATGATACCATAGCTCGAGCCGATCTCGCGAGCTATTTGTTAGTCGAGCTCGAGTAGAACTCATGAGCTCATTAATGAATCAAACTCGAGTTGAGTTCGAGCCAAACACAACCCAAGGTTTTAGTAAACAAGTCGACTTAAGATTTTAGTAAACAAACCTAGTTCGAACTCGACTCATTTATTAACAAGTCAACCCCAAATTATATCAAAACTCCTCTTAACTCAAATACTCCTTATCCAGTCTCAAGACTATTAGTAACGGAATAACAACAAGAACGAGGTTACCGAATCTGGAGCTGAGTCACGGACTAGGTCGCTCTTTTTAAGACGTTCGCGACACTGCCCTCGATGCGCACGCCTGATTATCAACCGGTCGTCTCCAGGATAAAACAACTCCTCTTTGTACTCGCCGTTTTGTGCGAAAACCGGAGCTCTCTGAACACTCTCTCTATTGTGTTTATGCTCGTTGTGGTGTGTTTAGAGGGGCTAAGGAGGCGACTATTTATAGGAGCCGAACCCCTTGGAATATACCCTCTAGCTTGGGGAATAAGTCGGATTAATTAAGGAAGAAAATTACTTCCTTAATTTAAACCGTCGGTTAAGATAAATCCTGCGGGATTATCATATAACTGATTAATAATTAATTATTAGATAATTAATTTCGTTCGAAATTTCTCCAAATAATATATATAGTCTCAAGTGAACCAACCAACCAATCGACCGACCGACCGGTCGGTCGGACAGACAGACGGAGCGCGCGCGTGTGTGTGGTGGTCCTTTAGGTCCTCCCTCTCCCACAAAAGTGGGTCACCCCAAGGGGCATGCCCTTAGGAGAGAGGCTCCTATCTTTATATACATTTCACCAAGTAAAACTACCAATGTGGTAGTTTTTCCACTTGAGACTCTATAGCTTTCAAAGCTATTCATACATACATTTCCAACAATCCCCCACTTGAATAGTTTTGAAACTATCTCTGAGCATTAACAGTTCCATAAGATCGGGCATAAGCTAAGGTATCGCAAAGATTTGAACCTTAGCACAGTGGTTACACTTTCGATTTCATAAGGGTGACTCGTAGTCTTGAACCCTATCTCAAACAGTGTAGCACACCAGATCTTTTCATTGAGTTGTATTCTCTTCTTAGCCCGTGCGTTTATGGCCATGCACGTTATCCTGGTTTAATGGATGCTCTAGAAACTTTGTGCCTCCAAAGTTCCATAGGGAGAGGCCCCACTCCCACATTCACATAGGTGAGTCTATCAGGAGTACCCCCAAAGTAAAGTACTCCACCCCACATAGGGTATAGATCTCATTAAGAGTTATTAACTCAACCTCCATTGCTTTGGGATTCATGCTTCACTATGCATGAACTTTTCGCATACTACTCATGACTTGTTATTACCCATTGAACCCATTTCTTGGGATCTCCAGTCTATTGGGTCAGGTTACCATCACTTGTAGTCCGTGGTTCAGTAGGCATAATTCCCATACCCTTGGCGGTATTCTAGACTTTCTCTCTAGGTAATCCTTTCGTCAAAGGATCAGCTAGATTCTGTTCGCATCTTATATGATCCACCCTCACTGCTCCTATCGTTAGGAGTTCTCTTACAGTACTGTGCTTACGATGAATCTGTCGTTTCTTTCCGTTATAGAACCGGTTCTCAACTTTAGCGATAGCTGCGGTACTATCACAATGGATCAATACCGGAGGGACCGGCCTTTCCTATAGGGGAATCTCTGACAACAATCCTCTCAACCAACTTGCTTCTTCACTAGCCGTGCTATCATCTCTGATTCCATAGTTGATTGAGATAGGATTGTTTGTTTCTTTGACTTCCAAGACACAACTCCACCAAAGATGTTAAAACATACCCGCTGGTTGCCTTGGAGTCATCTGATAGGGTATTCCAATCCGCATCACTATACCGTTCTAGTACACCAGGAAACCTTTGATAGTGTATACCAAGTTTTGTTGTTCTCTTGAGGTATCTCATAATCCTCTCTATAGCATTCCAATGCTCTCTACTAGGACAACTATTGAACCTGGCAAGCTATCCCACGACATATGCAATGTCTGGTCGAGTGTAATCCGCATCATAACGTAGACTGCCAATGATGCTAGCATATTTTGATTGTCTTACACTGTCTCCAGTGTTCTTAAATAGCTTTACACTAGCATCATACGGAGTACACGCAGATTTACAGTCGAAATAGTTATATTTCTTCAAGATCTTCTCTATGTAGCTAGATTGATCTAGAGAATAACCATTTGCCGTTCTGGTTATCTGGATTCCAAGCATAAACTTTGCTTCTCCCATATCTTTCACCTCAAAGCTCTCTTTCAACATGGCTTTTACTTCATTGACCACGTGAATATTGTACCAAATATCAACATGTCATCTACATACAAACATATGATAGTGCAAGTGTTATTCTCTGACTTGCAGTAAATACACTTGTCACTTTCATTCACCTTAAAGCCATGCGAGAGAACGAGAGTGTCAAACTTCTCATGCCAATGTTTTGGAGCCTGTTTCAAACCATATAATGATTTGTCTAACTTACAGACTTTCGAGGCATGTTCGGGGATAACAAACCCTTCTGGTTGTTCCATATAGATTTCTTCATCCAGACCATCGTTCAAAAAAGCGTTCTTAACATCCATTTGGTGTACCACGAGATTGTTCAAGGCAACAAGAGCAATCATAACACGAATGGATGTTATTCTTGATATTGGTGAATAGGTTTCAAAGAAATCTATATTCTCTCTCTACCTGTAGCCCTTAACTACTAGGCGAGCACGAAACCTTTCAATTGTACCATCAGGTTTCCGTTTCGCTTTTAGAACCCATTTATTACCTAAGACTTTGGAGCCAGGAGGTAAGTCTGTTAGATGCCAAGTCTTATTAGATTCTAACGATTCCATTTCATATGTAACGACCTCATTCCAAAAGTCTGCATCAATGGAAGTTAATGCTTCCTGCAAACTTTTTGGATCTTCGAGGGTGTATACTGTAGTAAAGTCACACCAAAATCTTTAGAGATTCTATCTCTTTTACTTCTTCTGAGTTCATCCTCATATCCAACACCCCACTAGTTCCGTTATCTCTAATAGCAGGTAGTACATTACCCCCACTATTTCTCGTTCTAAATGAAAATCGTGTTTCAAAGAAATCAACACCAATGGATTTTACTATAGTACGAGCATTCAAATCATAGAATCTATATACCTTACTATTGGCCGCATAGCCAACAAAGACACATTCATATGCTGGGCTAGCCAACTTAATCCTCTTAGGATCCGGAATTCTTACGTAGGCCAAACAGCCCCACATTCTTAAATAGGACAGATTAGGTTGCTTGTTCTTCAGGATCTCATAGGGTGATTCTTTTCTATTTGTTTTTGGAAGACGATTTAGCACATAGCAAACTGTCAACAAAATATCACCCACCAAGAAGAAGCAGCTCCAGAATTGAGCATAATAGCCACAACTAATTCTGTAAACGTCCTATTTTTCCGCTTGGCTTTATGACACGCTAAAACACAACACCAAACTGCGACCAAGTGTATCTGCAGTCCGGAAATGCAGTAACAAGCAAGCTCTAATTGTCAACCCGGGGTCTAGATCTACTGCCTACTCCGTGTAAATCTGTTATCTAGCAAACTAAGTTGAGTGATTTTTTATTTATGTAAAATCAGTAAGAAAGCAGGAAATGGTTCGGTTTTCTAAAGCAAAGGAAGAGTCACTCGGGAATGAGTCCCCTTGCTCCTTAGTTAGGTCACAGTTGTAATTAATTTTGGTTGCTTTACTGCTGATTATACTGCGGAAGATCCGACAGTAGCTTGGAATCTCTTAAGCTGACCAAGCCCTCTCAGTCAAACTACCCGGCAGACAACTAGTCTTCACAGGGATAGAACGCTGAGGCAATGAACACAGAACTCCACTATCGGAATTAGATTCCAGTACAAAGCAGTGAATCGACTAACTCTCGTATAATCGATTCACTACTACCGATTGAAGAAGCTCTAACAACCTAATCAGATTCTATCTATCTCAGGTTGCAGCAGAAATCAATAAAAGAGGATCAGACTTCAATTGACTCATTCAAAACACTTCAATCGATTATAATCAAGCAACATCACGATCCAAATTTAATTACAATCAAGATTCCTAACACATGGAACTAGGGTTCTTCATACCCAAGTGAGAGAGAGTTCTACTCCATAGAGAGAGAGAGAGAGAAAGCAGTAATCAGAGTAGTCATACTCATAAAGATGAGGATAATCTGCTCCGGGATGATGATCTTCACTCCTGGGGATGCAATTTGGGCTTCAATGGTGAGAAATCCACTCCAAATAGCTCCTAGGGTTTGTTCTTCGCACTTTCTCTTTCTAAAACTCTCTTTTTGCTCCAAAAAGTCGAATCCCTCTCCTCTGGCTCGAATCTGCCTAAAAAACCCTATTCTGGGCGAAATACGGGCTGAATTACGGTCGTAATCATGGTCTGCCCGTAAATCGCTCAAAACGCGCGTTTCACTAAACTCCGAGGAAGGTAATTACGATCGTAATTACCCAATTACTGCCAGTATTTATGTAATTACGACCGTAAATGAGTCCACTCTTGCCCGTAATTTACTCTGCGACAGGAATTCTCAGGGATTTAGGCTCGGCATTGCATTTACAGGCATGACAGAAGCAATTACGCCCGTAATTGGGCAGGGGCTGCCCGTAATTCTTCCTCCGCTCCTGTTTAATGCTTCGTTTCTCCCTCGTTCGGACTCCGAATCAGTCGCCGTTTGAGCCCAGACGCTCGTAATCTCGTCCTATTTATTTTAATAAAAAAATTTCATGATTATTTTTCCAGAAAATGAGGTAGAAATACATTATTCCTCAGGTCATGCTCGTGTTTCTTCTCCCGAATTGCCAAATGAATTCCGATTGACTTGAAACTTGTGCCTTTGCTTCAATTTACATGCTAGGACCTGAAATGTGACAAAGGAACACAACCTACCGTAATATAGTCCAAGAAAGCAAAAACTCAAGCCAAAATGATCAAGAAACGAGGGTGCAAACATGTGCAAATACGACGTTATCAAATTCCCCCACACATAACCGTTTGCTTGTCCCCAAGCAAACCAGGTCAGATACAAGGTAAGCTCCAAACATTTTAACCATGAAACCCTTGGGGGCATATCATATAGGCACGAAACACGAGAATAATACTGGCTTTTGATCATTAACACATGGAGAACTTCAACAGCAACGTGGACAACCACCACAAAGGACATTCGAGTGCAGCAAAATTAGGTAAAGTAAGAGGAATCCTTTCTGTTCACCAACCGACATAGACTCGACTCAACCACTTAACCAAGAAAGCCATCGCATGCATCAAATTCAAGACGTCATAATCAAGACCGATCCATCTAGGTCCTCACCGGGGTAAAGAGCATAGAGAATATGAGAAAATGA